TCCTATGAGAGCGTTTCTTAAGTCAAAATGTTCTTAACTCGAGCCGTTCTTAAGTCAAGACCCCACTGTAGTTTTCTCAAAGCAGGAAGGTATTATGGGTTTATTTTTCTTACTTTGCCTGACTGTTTATGAAAAAAGTGGAGGTATCTGGAAATAAGCTAGAATCTTATGTATTTTAAGCCAGATTGGGCTCTGATGAACAAAACAGGACTTCTGAATTTTCAGTTAAGTTTTAAATTTTTTCAATGTTTTTAATCATTCAGCATATTCTCATCATTATTATGGTTTAATTATTTTTGATGTTTAATTTATTTTGTTCTTATTTCTACTTTTTTTTTAACACTGTGACAGCAGCCGCAAGCAGAGATAAGAAATTTTGATTACAACTTCTGGATATCACAATCACCTGGGGACTCCGGCCCATGCAAGAAACTTTTCCCATCTCTGATCACGAGTAGAAGTAATCAAAACGAGTGTTAAGTTGTTGGTCATTTACAAGGATGGAGTGAGCGCCTAGCAGAATAACAAGTGAGGTCGGGAGTCATTTGGTCCTGCTTACCCGCTGACTGTTCGGACACTTCTTCGGAGTTGCTTCCTGTCTCTTCCTCCTCCTCTTCCTCTTCCTCCTCCTCCTCCTCTTCTGACTCTTCACTGCTAGATTCCTCCTCTTCTTCTTCCTCTTCTTCCTCCTCCTCCTCTTCTGAACCAGAAGCCGATTCCCCTTGAAAAGGCATGGGAGGGGGGACGATGGCTAGGGGGCATGGCCAACAAGCCCCTGACCACTCAAGCAAGTTGGCTTGACCTTAGGGGGGCACATCTATGGGTCACCCCCTAACCTCACAGGGTCCCCACGGTCTCCAAGCAGTTGGCACCGCTTGGTGAGAGAGCGTGGAAGCCCTGAAATCAATACTCCAAACATGCCAGCGGATGGAGCACCCCGGGACCTGGCGCCTCGGCTGGGGGGAGTCTCTCGCCCACCCTTCTCATTCCACACGGGGGAGGGTGCAAGCGGGCAAAGCTCAAAGACCACCCAAGGGGGCACCCCTTGTTGTTATTTCTGATCCAAACAAGGAAGGGGAAGGGGGCAAGAAGGTCTGACTCCAGATCCTCCACGGACCACACAAGGAAACCTGTCCTATGAAAACATAATCGAATGTAAGAAAAGTCCTCCTGGATCAGACCAAAGCCTGATCCGGTCCCATATTCAGTTCGAGTTTTTGCAAACTCGCATACTGCCTTTAGTAGGTCTGGCTGGGAGGGACCTTTCTGGGATGGGTGGACTGTCCATCTGTCCAGCACCGACCAGTTTCTTCTTGTCTCTGATTTCAAAGAGAGGCTCGCGTCTCTGCTTTGATCCTTTCCCCCACCTTTGTTTAGTCTGTTGGTGGTCTGTTGCTCAAAACAGTCATGTTGGCTGTTTCAGTTCAATTGTAAGTAATGAAGTTTCTTATTCTTTTTCCTACTAGTGAGTTACTGAGACTGTAAGTGCCAGTTGATGAAAGAAAGGGGTGGACTATTCTGAGGAACTAGAAGCTACTCTGCTCTGTGAATCCCTGCACTTCTGCTGTGCAGCTAGAGGCATGTACTCTGTTCATGCCCTACAGACAATAAAATACAGTGGTGCCTCGCTTAACGAGTGCCCCGTTTAACGAAGAATCCGCATAGCGATTTGTTTTTTGTGATTGCAAAAGTGATCGCATTGTGATCTTTTTAATGGCAAAAAATCGCTTTGCGATGATCGGTAAGCTGTTTCGTTTACCGATTTTCGCATAGCGATGTTTTAAAAACAGCTGATCAGCGAAATGGCGGCCGTATGGAGGATTTTCGATGGCTGCAAGCAGTGTTTTAGCGCCCATTCCTCGCATACTGGGCAGCGAAAATGGCGGCCGTATGGAGGATTTTCGCATAACGGTGAGTTTTAAGCCCATAAGAATGCATTAAACGGGGTTTAATGCATTCCTATGGTTTTTTCTTTTCGCATAGCAACAAATCCGGATAGCGACGAGTTTTCCGGAATGGATTACCGTCACTATGCGGGGCACCACTGTACAAGGAAAGCAGCAGGAAACCATCTCCAGATAATCAAATGTTGCTTTTCCTTCTAAGTGAACTGCAAATCATCCCAATGCCTTCAGGGAAGCTACCTGATGATGTTTCTGCTGAGCTGGTTTTTTTCTCACTGTCGCTGATGTCCTGGAGGTCGGAAAGTGGGTCTTTCTCCTCCGGCTTTTCGTCTTTCACTATTTAAAATAAAAAGGAAAGGAGAGGTGGCATAACTGTTCTCAAATGCACTGAGGAATCTGTGTTTAACATTCCTGTTGCTAAAGTATTGTTGATCACAACTGCTTTTCATGAGACTAAAGATTGTAAGATTAGATGTTACCAAAAGCAGGGTCAATAAATAAACATTCATACAGTGTTTTCCCCTGCCCCCACAACAAAAGAGTTAATTTAGGCCACAGTCCATTTCTGCAATATTTATACAATGAAAATAAGTATCTCTAGATACGGCATAATTCCGCTTGAGGGGTGGTGGGATCAATTTCCGTGACATTTATCTAGCCATTCTGTGTACTCAATCAAACCCAAACTGACATTCCAGCCCAGTTGTGTTTACTCAATACGAATAAAATCAACATTCCAACCCAATCTCAATAGACTTAAGTATTTGCCTACATAATAAACGAAGTATTTGCCTACACAGGAGAAATTAAGCAGCTTTTCGGGGCTGCCTCCTCACAGAATTTGCCCAGGCAGCCTTGGCAAGCGGCCACGCCAGCTAAAAGATTCAGGGGAGCTGGTGTCCCAAAAAGTAAACTTTCCAAACTATGAGCAGTCAAGAGCTCATTTGGACCATCTGTGTAACATTCCCAGCCCCCAAGAGGTCAGGTTACCAGTTGAGATTCCCACCCTCTGGAATCTGTCAGGCGATGACACGAAGAAACCCCCTCTCCCCAAGATCACAGCAGGAGAAAAGGCAAGCGTCCGTACCTGTCTTTCGGATTTCTCCTTGTTCCAGCTTTTCTCTCTGTTGCCGGATGGGGCTTCGGCTCCAAATGCGGACTTTCTCACTGTACTCCTCTCTCACCGTTCGGTGATGGGCAGAAACTGGCAAAACCAAGACAATTCTGCTCTGTCAATCGCGGCCTTCAACCTCCCTCTTTCGCCCCAAGAGAACGAGCTTCGTGCCAACATCATAGACTTATCGAGACAAGAATCCGCGCCCCCCCCGCTTCCATAAAAGGGACATCTTAGGGCAGGGGTTCCCAAACTGTGCGCGGCGTGCCCAGGAACCCATCTAGGGGCACCCTGGGGAAAAGGGTTAGAACCTAGAGCAGGTAAGAGGAGATGGGAGAACCTGAAAGAGGTAAGAGAAGCTGTTCGTAGGTGAATCAGGAACTGGAAGTGGAGGCCGTGTGCCGGCTTCTCCTTTCCCTGTCTCTGTGGTCCCTGGTGGAGGTGCTTGTGAGTTTTCTGCATCAGAACCTGGAAGGAGGTGGGCCCTCGGGGACATTCAGGGTGGGAAGAGGAGATGGGATGGCTAGTGTGTGTGTGTGTGTGTTTCAAGATCTCGTGTCTTGGGGCAGAGAGACCCTTGAGGGCCAGTGGTTAGCAAATCAACGGAGCCATGAGTCCAAAAGGTTCACGAGCCACTGTTTTAGGGTACGAAGAAGCTTAAAACAAAAAAATAACAATTAAAAAAGAGGGCACTTGGTTCTGAATCCAGCTCTCCCCATAGAGGAAAGGCATTGCATGGGTTCTGCCCCAACCTCTTTACAGTGGACCCTTGACTTACAGACGGCTTGACTTACAGACTTTTTGAGTTACAGACTTCTCTGGCTGCAAAATTTAGGTTTGACTTGCAGACTGAGAATTGACTTACAGACCAGAAAAAAACCAAAATGGAACAAAAACGGCCTGTTACGGGATTAATCGGTTTTCAATGCACTGTAGGTCAATGGAGACTTGACTTACAGACTTTTTGACTTGAGAACCGCCTTCCAATACGGATTAAGTTCTCAAGTCAAGACCCCACTGTACTTCTGCTCTCCTGAGCAACTTACTCTCTCGTCTGGCTTCCCGTTCTTTCCGCCTCTCCTCCGCTCGCCTCTCCCTTTCCTTGATCTCCCGTTGCTCCTTCTGCTGCTCTCTCATTTTCCGCTCTCTCTCCCGCTTCCGTTCAAGTTGCTCTAGCCGGTCCCTACGGAGGTTTTGCAGTTGCCTTGGTTAGTATGATATTCTCAAGTATCTGTGGCCATTTTGAATTGTTCCACCTTTTGGGGGAAATCTGCTTTCCTTCCCCCAGAAAAAGACTCGTGGAGAGTCTAAGTTTACGGATCCCTCGGAGCCTGGAAGAAGGGCTCTGTATCAAATCTGGGGAGTAGCAGGGCTTTTTCAGCTGTGTTTGGGATGGGGGTTGGATTTACCTCTCTCTCCGGGAATGCTCCCGGGCCATCTCCCTCCGTTTCTGCCTCTCCCATTCACGGCGGGCCTTATCCTGCTCTTCTCTGTGCCTTTTCCTGCGTTCATGCTCACGCTCCTTCTCTTTTACCCGAGCGTGTTTCCCTGGGAGCGAAGAGACAAACAAAAGGTCAAGCGGTTACCACCCCCACCCCCTGCTTGACCCCTTTGGAGACCTCTTTTGAAAAATGTTTAAAGGAAAGGAAGAAAGGAATTAAGACCCATCCACATAGGATTCTATACCTGACATGCAGAGGCGAGCCTCCATAGACTGGGGCAGTGTATCTTGAAACACTGACCAGTGGGAGCAAATGAGAGAGAGAGAGCAGCGATCAATTAGGAGCTCAGGAGTGCACAGAGACATCAAGGTGGGCAGGGTTGGAATCAGAACGGTCGGACTAAGGGAAGCAGGGGCCTGATCCAGCAGGGCAGCTCAGAAGAGAGCAGGCAACTCACTTTAGGAGGTAAAACAGCCAGCCTGATAACAGAACTCCACTGAGCACCAAAACCTGCCCGCTTCTTTACGGATTCACAACCTTGTGTCCCCAGGTGTTCTTGGACTCAAAATCCCAGAAGCCTCCACCACTAACTGTGCTGGCCAGGATTTCTGGGAGCTGCGGTCCAAGAACGTCTGGGTGAACCCAAGGTGGGGAACCACAGAGTTAGTGGCACTCACCCCGAGTCGGTATTCCTTCTTGAGAACGGAAGAAGCTCCTTCTCGGGTCCTACCACAATTCACCTACTCTGGTGTTCCTGGCACGGATCCAGTACCCACTATGTTAACCCTCTTCGTGCAAGAGACCCATAGACTGAACAAGCATCTTACAACCTGATGGGAACTCCTCAGGCAAGCTGGGAAAGATCCCAGTTGTTACAAGATTTTTTTTGGGGGGGGGGTTGACTACAACACCCAGAATCCCCTCAATGGTCACGCTGGGGGGACGATGGGAAAAGACGTCCCAAAAGCAGAATTCCTTTTCCAACGGGAAAAGACGCCCCAAAAGCAAAATACCCATTCTATGTGTTCAGCATAGAACAGGTGTGCCCTAAAAGAACAGGCCAGGAAGTAGAAGGCTCAGGAAACCAGCTTGTCCCATCTGTTTTAAAAACAAAACCCGCCAATCGCCACAGAGAGGACTAGCAGCTGCAAGAGGGAACCCGTAAGAGGGAAGGGAGGCAGAGCCCTGAGCACCTTCGGCCGAGTGGCTGCGGTGTCGCCTCTTCTCTTTCCTCTTCTCATCCTTTCTGTGGTGGGCCTTCTCCTTTCGGGACATCTGCTGGGGTGGTTTGATGGCCAAGGAGTCGTCTTCTTCTCCCCTAAAAAGCGAACAAAACGGTCACAAGGCGGAAATATCATGGCAAGGAAACGCTGTATTATTCCTCGAGGGTCCCACCAAAACAGACATAGAACCAGGTGGGAATCAAAAGTTAAGGCTTTTTGGCCCTTTCCCTTCCAAAGAAAGACATTTGTAACTAGATGCTTTGCCCGCTTCTTCCTTCCGGGTCCTGTTTCTTTGTGTGTCGTGCCTTTTACAACTCTATGCTTGAAAGCACTCAGCATCAACCCACCTTACCACCAGATAAGGTCCTTTTTTCAAGAGAAAGGTGGGGTAAAAATATTTCAGATAAATAAATAGATGACCATCTGTGTTCACATCCTGTTTTGCCATCACGGGCTAGCACTCTTAGGACGCCACGTCACAGAAACCACAGCTAAAATGATAATCCTTCTCCCCCACACACACACCCCTAGCGAGCCACTTTCTTACCGATCTTCCATGGAATCTTCCCTCCGGTAAGGGGAATTCCTGATTGTGATCTCCATGCGGTGATCTCTCAACTCCCCCTCTTCAAGGGAATCTCGCTTGGAATCCCGATCATCAGACTAGGACAGGTTAAAGAAGAGGGAAAAAAAACATTGGGTTGGTTTGGCTTCCTAGGAATCACACCTGCTACTTAAAAAGAAGCAGTAATAAGAATACAGTGGGATTCCCTCCATCTGCAGGATCAGCATCCACTGATTTACTTATCTTTAAATAAAAACAAACAGAATTATGTACTTCTAGTAATTTCAAGGTGGATTTACCAGAATTGGCCACTAAACGTAGCAAGAGACTATGCACTGTATAGCATTTGATAATTTTGCATTTTTTGGCCATTGGAGGACAGGGTTTAGAACCACCAATTCCCCCATGGATACTGCGATCTTACTGTAGTACATTACGAGTTCTCCCACAACTCTTAGGGGTGAAGCAAAAGCAAACCACTGCCCTATTCTGAGGGGGAAAACCTGCTTGGAATTTCACTCATTCATTCACTGTGCAACGAAAGGTGGTAAATCTATTACTGGGTGACTCTTGTTATCAAAGGAAAATCAACTACCACGCTGTGTGGCGGTTCATGGACTTTTCAGCATCACACTCCTTTTTTTTTGATTTTCAAGAAAATCCTTTCTGGATTTCCCATTCCTTCTCCTGACCAACTCATTCATAAGCTCATGAACACCTTTCTCAGAAAAAGACTACTATATGTTTCCACCTTGGTGAGAACCGTTCTCTGCCAGCGATCTGCGAAACTTAAGATACAAACAGCGAGACGCAAAATATTTTAACGGTCAAGAGGCACACCTACATTTTTGAGTCGCTTGTTGTCTGCCTTCTCTTCTTGCTCCTTGCGTCGCTTCTTCTCCTGAAGAATTTCATCTAACGTTTTCACCTTCCAAGATTCCTTTTCATCACCCATTTGCGTTTAAAAAGGCACTACGAGAAAAGCACAGCGGAAGGTGAGGGCGACGAGAAAAAAAAATAACATCTGCCGAGAATGGTGTCAGTTTTATTAAAAATGGAAACGGCTAAAAGATTTTGTATTGCTTGGTTCAAAGATCAATACAAATGAAGACAGCAGGAAAAAAAATAATGACAAGTCTTTCAGAAAGAGCTGGCAATGATCCAAAACTTTAAGGGAGTGCCGCTGGAGACCAAGTCTGGATTTGAAAACCAGACAGTGAACAAAGCTAAAAAGAAAGGGGGAAAATGATTTATTTAAAATGTGGTATTGCAGAAGAGTTTTCTGGATGTTATTTTAATGTAGCTATGAGCCATGAAGTCAATTCTGACTTATGATGGCTCATTTCAGGATTTTTCAGGTAGAGAAGACCTAGAAGTGGTTTCCCATCCCCTTCTTCTGGGAGGGCCCGGGGATTGTGCAGCTTCACCAAGGCTACCCAGGCTGGCTCATCCCTCTGGAGACACAGTGGAGAATTGCCCAAGACCACACAGGCTGGTTTTCCTGGGATACACAGAGTGGAATTAAACTCTCAGCCTCCGGCGCTCCAGCCAGAGACTTAACTCACTGAGCTATCCCCCAAGGCTACCCAGGCCTGCTCTTCCCTCTGGAGACACAGTGGGGATTTGCCCAAGACCACACAGGCTGGCTTTCCTGGGATTCAGAGGGGAATTAAACTCTCAGCCTCCGGCGCTGCAGCCAGAGACTTAACTCACTGAGCTATCCAGCCAGCATGGACTCCACAGAACAACTGCAATTATCTCAAACAGCGATAAGCCAAGACTATTGTCCTTTGGCCATATTACGAGAAGACAGGACTCATTGGAAAAAGACAATAATGCTAGGAAAGGTTGAAGGCAACAGGGAAAGAGGAAGACCAAATATGGATGGACTGACTCCATAAAGGATACCCCAGCCCTGCGTCTACAAGACCTGAGCAGAGATGTGAACAATAGGATCCTCTGGAGGTCACTAATTCATAGGCTGGCTGTAAGGTAGATACCCAGAACAACAGCAACAAGGAAACACAGCTACAAAGTCTGGCTTAGCTATTCTATTACAGGCCGCCTCAGTTATTCCCACTTTCAGGATATTCAGAAGTTTGTGGCGAGCCTTTTTCAAACGCGCTTGAAAACTGCAGTCTTCTAAAGCAACCAAGACTTTAACTGGTCAGCACCTTACAAAGTGTAAACTCCAACTATGTTGTGAATATGTGAGTTGCAAGTAATATGGCTATTTGCAATGAAGGCAGAAACGGAGCAACATCCCAGAAATAACCTAACATGTGGGAACAAAAACTGCTCATGTGCTTTCTAAGTACTTTTAAAGCTGTTTGCGATAGATACAGAATTGCAGAATTTTTGTCATTCTGTCATTGATCTTACTTTATTTTTTCAAAACAAAACTATAAAAAAGTAACAGGTAACACAACAAGCAATGCAAGGAGCTACTTTTTAAAAAATATTGGAAAAAAGGGCAAACACGGTTCTTTGCTCTTTCAAAAACGTAACAATTAGCAAAACAATCACAGTGAGCTATGTAAAAAGAACACACCGAAGCACTCAACAATAATGTGTTCCGATTTTAAGAGACTTTAAGAGGTAAAAGAAACAAACTGGTTTTAAACCTTTAAAAGCTCCAAACTCCGACATGGTTTATTTATTGTTAGGGAAACTGTCTTAGAGGAAGTCCAATGGCTTGTAAACTCCATTACTGTTTATGACAGCAGTGGCTCTCTGAGGTCTCGGGCAGAGAGGTTGTTTAATCATCATCATCATCATCTTAGAACTGGAGAGCTTGAAAAGACCCTATGGATCATCCAGTCCAGCCCTTGTCAAAGAGGCCCAGTGGGGGAATCAAACTCCCACCTCTGGCTCCGCAACCAGAGACCTAAATTATGGAGCTAACTACGCAGCAGCTCCCACGCTTTCTTCTCTAATCTGATCACCTCCCACATCATTTAACTGGAAGTGGTGGCGATTGACTGCGGAAACTTTGTCATGGAAGTCCTTGACAGCTACCTTACGGTTCCTTCCCCGTTATCTCTTTAAGCTGGAGAGTGGGAGACGTAAGCATGAAACCAGCAGAGTCACTTTCCCTCTTTGGTCCAGCTGTAAGTCACCTTGGGTCCTTCTCAGGAGAAAGGCAGGGTTTTCAATATTTATAATAAATACGTAGCTTCTGTCTTAGAACATAAAGCAACTCATATTATATTTCTACAGAGACAGAGAGAGAGAGAGAGGATAGCTCAGTGGTTTGGGCCTCCAGCTGCAGAGCAAGAGGTTGAGGGTTCGAATCCCACCCCCCAGGATGCCTCCTTGACAGGGGCTGGACTCGATGACCCCACAGGGTCCCTTCCAGCTCTGCAGTTCTGTTGTTATTGCTTTTGTTGTTGTTATTTGCAAATAGATGAAGAAAGAACGAGCAGAGAGGGAAAAGCCTCATAATATATACAGAGAGAGGGAATGAAAGCAGACCAACGATCCAGGCAGCCGCCAAAAGACACGTCCCTGGACAGAAGTCATAACGAAGGGACCCCCCTTGACACGCCCGCCCTCCAAGGTAGGCCAGTCCCCGGGCAACCTGCCTCCCTCCACCGGAAGTCCCCCTTGACTCCCCCGCCCTCTGAGGCCTCCTAATGTTCCACGTGCTGGGGAACAGCCGCGGAGTAACGGACCCGCTTTCCGTTACAACTCCTTTAATTCCCTCCTCCTCCCCCTCCTCCCCCCTCACAGCTCCTCACCTTCCCGCTTCTCGCCACCGTCGCTTCCACCCCCTCTACGCGCCGGAGAGACACCGACCGGAAGCTCGACGCCCCGCCAACGCGCTACTTCCGACGCTTGGCAGTGACGTCATAGGCAAGGACGCTCGGTCCGCTCTGGGCACCGAGAGGGACGCCTTAGCCTTGGAACGGACGGGAATGGACAGCCCATAGACTTACGACAAAATAGACTCGCACGTTCTGATTCACTTCCGGGCTCGTTCGGAATTTAAATTCAAATCGTTGTTTTTTTTATATTGAGCCGCCATCACCATCATCATCATGTTAGGGTCAATGCTTTTATAGTTTTGATTGGCTGTGCCTGGTGTTTTTAATAATAATAATAATAATAATAATAATAATAATAATAATAATAATAATAATAATAATAATAATAATAATAAATACAGTNNNATTGATAACTGTAGCTTATAATTTATTTAAAATTTATATTATTTAGAAATATTATTTATAATGAATATTATTTATAAATATATGCATATTGATTCTGTGTTTATTTTAATTTGATGCTTGTTGGTTTTATCTTGCTGTAAACCACCCTAGAATAATGCATTACACTATTGGGTTGGTATACACATTTAAGAAATGGTTTTTTTATGTATTTCGTGATGAAATAGATACTACTGCAAAATCCTTATTGACTTACTTTCAGTAAGCTGCTTTCGGGGAATGTCTTTGTAAATCAGAAAGCAAATTTAACCAGGCACTCAGACTGCTAAAACTTATTTTTATTTTCATCTTAACAAAGCAGGCTCCTGGGGGAGGGAGAAGCAATGGACAAGCACAAGATTATACAACACTGTAGATTTCTTTCCTTTAAAATGAAAACACTGCCGTCAGCAGGTCCCAAAGACAATCTGTTTGAATTTCACAGAAGGAAGGGGTGGGGGGAAGGTATATCCACAGGATCGGTCAGTTTGGGGGGTTTTAAGTGGATGTCAGAGTTGCTACAAAGCGGATGATGCTCCATAGCTGGTCTGACAAGACCGAAGAACACTCTCCATTAGCCTTTGCCATAGAGCTGAACTCCTTCCAGAGGTGTGCAACTACAACCCCCACCATCCCCATCCACCAGAACTGCTGGGGACCATGGGAGTTGTATTCCCACTCATCAGTGGATGGGTGCAAGTCTAAGAAAAGGCATTTTACGTTGAGATAAACACTGGAAGAACAAATATGCAGAGGATGATGTGCAATGCTATTTTCACCCCTGCTGATAATTCAGTAAATCTACATTTTTGGCCCCTGACATGAAAGCACCATAGCTACGTTTTTTTTTCCTTCAAGTTTCCACAGGAAGTGGGGGAATAAAAGATATGTTGTTATTTTGGGGTGGGGGCCAGTTTGAGGGAGGTTTTTACCTAGCAGGATTTGTTTCTGCAGGTAAGTACAAAGTGATTTCCTGTATTTTTTTATTTTTAACAGAGAATTAAGTCTACAGGTTTTGTTCAAGTACAGGATGACAGCCCCGGACGTCCTGGATCAAAGACCACCACCAGCAACCAATGTCACAGCCATAAACTGGTTTCATAGCCATGTTGGTGTCGGGAGATTCCCGGGGGGGGGGGGAACACCCAACAATTTCGCAAATGGATTGAAAATGTTATTAACCGAGAGACCCAGACTCAAGGTTTGTGGGATCCGTGTCATTCTTTCGGCTATGTCTGCCCTGCCGCCGGATATCCCAATCAAAAATCTGGTGTAAAAGGCTGGAAAAAGTGATGTTTTTTGGGAGTAGAATGCCCGGAATTTTCCTGCCAGCAAATCCAACGGTCAAGCCCATGTGCTACTCTGAAGGAATGTATTTATTAAGGAAAATTTGTGAATGCTGGTGGAAAGCTGTCCTAGCGCAGCTGATTAAGAGACTTCTGGATGGATTTAAAAATACCACATTTCCCTTTGTACCCCATTATTGAGGCAGGAGATTCAAAAAAAATGCAGTAACACAAGTAGTCACACATCAAAGGTAGCGCCAAAGAGGCTTTCACATGTGTAGAACGGAATGCTCTTTTCAAGAGATGCAACGCATGTCGTGATACAAAGAACCAGTGGACAGCTCCGTGGTTTTGGCCTCTCGTTGGGGAGCCAGAGGTTGGGAGTTCGATTCCCCTGTTTGCCTCCCTGGAGACGGGGCCGGAGTCGATGATCCATAGGGTCCCTTCCAGATCAGCCGTTCTAAGATCATCACTGTTATATTATTATTATATTGTCACAAAACGAAAGTCGTTCTAAGATCATCACAGTTTTATTATTATTATTATATTGTCACAAAACGAAAGCAGCCGCCCTTCGCCGCTTCAAGACAATTCTTTCATTCCATAATTTGAGGTGTTTTTTTTTAACCTTTTGGGGATTATGGGTGCATGATTTGACAGTTACGTAAAACTTCCTCTTACGCTGTAGAATGAAACACGGATGATTTTATATCCATGGAGGTGGAACCTGTATTAGAACATGGATGGGTCTAGATTCCATTTCTGCCCTCCCCTCGACCAGCGGCTGCCAATCTTGATTCTCCACAGGTTCTCGGTCTAAAACCCTCAGAAATCCTGGTCAGAACAACAGGTGGTGAAGGCTTCCTGGTATAAAATTTAACTTCTTATGTTTCTATCAAGATTTGCCAGTAGGAATGAGGCTGATGGGGCTTCATTTAAAAAGGCTACCTTCAGGACAAGCTGGTTCAAGCTGGCTGGGGGGTGTGTAGTCCAAACCACCATGTCCTCCGAGGTCATCATCCTCTTAGGACTGTAAAGGATCCTCTGGATCATTGATTCCAAATCCTGTTCCAAGAGGCCCAGTGGGGAATCGAACTCCCAGATCATGTTCCAAGTGGCCCAGTGGGGAATCGAACTCTCAACCATGACTAAACCACCGAGCGATAGGCTAGGTCCCTACAGAGTAATCCAGAGCATGTTCTGAAGCAATCTTGCGTGCTCATCTTTTACCCTCAAGAGACTCTTGAGCAGGGATGGCAAAACATACCCTGCCCCCAAATGGTTAGCCTGCCGCTTCCCTCAGCCGGCCGCCTTTTGCCTCCTCCTGGAATATCAAAACATCTCCACCACAACTGAGAAGCGAGAAAGAGAGTCCATGTCCGTCTCTCCGGCTGCCCCCCGCCACCCTAGAAGACCGTCTCTGTGCCCGTATTCAACAGGGAACCGAAGCTTCCGAGGGTCCATGATTTATTGCCTGCCTTCACAGTACGGAAGCGAGAGCGGGAAAGGAAATCAGCTCATCGATCCTTTGAAACTCTGGTGGGAAATCCTGGCCCACCTTGCTCCTAAAAAAAAAAAAAAAAAACCCTTTGAAACTCTGGTGGGAAGTCCTGGCCCACCTTAACCCTTAAAAAAAACAGTTTATAGACACAGTCCTATTCCGAGAGGACCTGACATTTAAACTTGAGGTACCCAAACCTCTGGATTGCTTTGAAGGTGGTTGAGGTGGCCTCATCTATGGTTGAACACCTTGAGATGATCCACCTAGAAAAAAAAAGATAGTGGTCTCCACTCCCAGTTATGGCCTGTTGGTTTGGATCGAGGTCCGGGCTGGTCGGGGTGCAAATTGGACGCACCACACACTAGTGGTTAAGAGCTAAGAACGGTCCTTTTTATTTCCTCCTGCTGGTCTGAATTTTCAGGATGCTTCTTGGTGTCACTGGAACTGTGGAGACATCCGTTCAAAACACGGATCGTCTCCAACCGCGGCTTTCGATCTTCCGGAAGGGAGCTGTTCTGCCTTCTCTTTCGTAGCTAAAGGTGTCCAGTTGTTTCCCCCCTCAACGGACAAGTATTTTTTTTTGGCCCACTCCGCGTAAGTCAACGATGAGGAAATCCAGGTTACGTGACACCGGCAGAAGCCGAGCCATCGTCCGGACCGCTGGCCGCGGTCGTTTTACCTCAGAAACGCAGCCACCTCCTTTGCCAACCTTTCTTCCTACCCATTCCCTTCTTCAAAGAGGTCTTTGCTGGTGTTTGTCTCTTCCCCCCCCCGCCCCCGATCCACCAACCATCTTTTGCAAGTGTGAAACAGATCCTGCAAAATGGACGCCCGGCGGGGTTCTGGTCGCCGTGGGGATGGACGTCCAGGTTAAGGAGGGCGGAAAGGCCAAGCTTGTGGTGATGGAAAGACAAGTGTGTGGATTCATTCGTAGGGCTTCAAGTCTTTGGGAAGGAGAGGCTCCGTGTCTTCGCTGATGCTCTGGGGGGCTTTCAGGGGGGAAGAGGCTGATGCCAGGCTCTGGAGGACCGCTTGCTGATGCTGCTTTGCCTTATTGTACAGCAACACCCCCACGATCACGAGCACGGTGCCGACGGCCGAGAGGCTGGTGATCTTATTGCCGAATACGATGATGCTGAGCCAGATGGACAGGGCGTGCTTCACGGTGCTGGCAACGCTGGGGAGGGGAGAAGGAGACGGGAGTGAGGGACGGTGGGTTAGCCCTCTCGGGCTTTTGCCAGGCCGAGACACCGATTCGTGCCCCCTGCTTGAGACGGCCATGCAAAGGGCAGTACCTTCATTCCAAAAAACCCATGATAATCATCCTGATTCACGGCCACCCTTCCCAAGGTTTTCCAGGCAGAGAGTGGGTTGCTTACCGTTTCCTTCTTCTGAGACTGTGCAGCTTGCCCAAGGCTACATAGGCTGGCTTTTCTCTTAAAGAGTTTTCTCGAACTCCCAACCTCCACAGCCAGAGGACCTCAACCCACTGAGCGATCCAGCCAGCTCCAAAATCCATACTGAGATAATTTTTTAGCTAAAAATACCACTCAGCCAATTCCAAGTTACGATAACCCTCCCCTAGTTTTCTCGTACAGCCCGTCTGCCAGATCCTCCTTCTTGTGGAACTCTGGGAATCTCCGTGCAGCTTTGCCCAACGTGGCACAGCGGGTACATCGCCCCTGTCTGACCGACACACTCCATGGGACCAGCAGCCACCCGCACTACGGGGAATCACGGCTGGGCCACAGGGGATCGGAAGCGCTGCCCCCCCCCACGCCCTGCCTCCAGGGTTCCGTCTAAGAGATATTATTTTTAAGACCAACTGAAAAGATTCAGAAAAGTATGCCAGTTCTAAATAAGCCAATTTCATTCCCTAAAGGCAAATTGTTAGAACATTACGAAGGAACGCAAGACAGAAGGATGCAGTTAAGTTCACCTAGCTGGAGACCGGGCAGTCAGAATTCAGGATCAGAAGGACAGAACGCAAGCCAAAATGTGGAGACGGTAAACGGGTTAGGGTACCCGAGACCCTTTTCTGCAAATCATCTACTATTTTAAGAAGAGACACCTGGTTTACAGTTAATTAAGGCTGAGCAACCGTGGCTTTCCACATTTTCTTTTCTAGAGCATAACTCCTGTAATGGTCCATCATCTCTGGTCCCACCAGTTAAGGCTGATGGGATCTGTAAGCCAAAAAACAAACAAGAAACCCTTGGAGGACCACAGCCATCCAGTAATAGGTGCGCTTGCTGGGGACTCAGGGAAGAGGGCCTTCTCTGTGGCTGCTCCCGGACTTTGGAACTCCCTCCCACTGGAAGGCCAGCCTGGCCCCATCTTTGCTGTCCTTCCCAAAGTAGGCAAGGACCTTTCTCTTCAGGCAGGTTTTCCCTCCGTGACTGGCTGCTCGGCTAGGATTTTTAAACGGATGATTGTGCCTTGTTGCTTGGAATATGTTTTGACTGTGGCTTTTGTTTACCATCTTTTAGTGTGTTGTTGGTCTGATCCTTTTTATTCTTTGCATACTTCCTGTTTTTTAGCTCTTAAATATTATCATTTACTAACCCACCTTGGGTCCTTCTTAAGGAGAAAAGCGGGGTAAAATTATTTTAAATACATGTATAAATAGCATTATTACAGGTCCATGGGGAGGTGGGTCTCCCATGAAAAAAATACAAAGCCAATGGGGGAAAGGTTTCAGAGGATACCAGCGAACCTCCCTTTCTGCAGGAGACCAAATGGAGTTTTCACCTGAACGTCACAGGGGAAATCTTTCCCATCAAGGCGTAAGCGGTCACGCTTTGGAGGTGGAACAGCGCCCCGTCAATCAGGAGCAGCACCACGACATCCTGATTGTACTGGAAGCTTCTCCCACTTTTCCCAATCACCGGCATGTCCTAAAAGGAGAAGAATAGGCAAATAAAGAGGAAAAAAACTTAATTCACTGCCAGTCAAAGCATGGGCGATTTAGGACAGGTGGGGCACACGCACCTCGATGCAGTTCCCCAAAGACCTCCCTTATACCGTCCGAGGCACAATGTCAAGCATTCGTTTCAGCCGCGAATTTCGCGCACTGCGCCCAACCCTGCGCCCAAGAAACCGCCTGGCTTCTTTCACCGAGCGTGTCCAGGAGACGCCTCACCATGAAAAAGATCCAAGCTGGAATCAACATGATCACCGCCGCTGCGCTCGTGTAGAACTGAAGCTCAGGGGCACTGTAGAAGCATCCGGAGCAGAAGGGGAAGAAATCCATTGAGAGAAATCAGCAACTTGCGTGGGCTTCAATAGACAATAGACTTGCTCGCCGCATAAAGCAGGAGACAAAAGAATTCAAGCTAGGGCTGGTGTTAAAGATCAGACCCAAACTGATCCAACGGCCGGTTCCAATGAAGGAGATCCAGTCAATCAATCGCTCAAGGATAAGTCAATATTTCTATAAATCACATTGGTTCAATGGCTATAATCCTGTTACAGGCTATAATCCTGTAACTCAGTGTAGGAAGCCACAACTAGCGCTGTAGTTATTATGGGCTGTCACGTCACCTCCAACTTACAGCAACCTCATGAATGAACGCTCTCCGAAGGGCCCTGTCACCCACCGCCCTGCTCAGCTTTTGCAAACTCAAATCTATGGCTTCCTTTAGGGAGTCAGCCCCTCTCGTGTTTGGTTTTCCTCTTTTCCTGCTGCCTTCCAGACACAAAAGACCGAACGCTCGGGAGTCAGCGATGTTTTGCTGGTCCCTGGTGGAACCGCCAGCCTTTTCCCCCCCCTCCCCAAAGTCCGTTTTATCAAACCACAGGCGATCCTTTTTTGGTTTTGACTACTTACGAGAAACGGTACTTGTCTCCACTAAGTAACTTCTTAGAGAACACATTCTGCAAACTGGAAAAATAAAATAAAATAAATCACATTTATTGGTGACCTGAAAGAAAGCAAGGTGGAAAGTCACAGTAAGGCTGTAGAAATGAATGGCAGTTTCCTAAATCTTGCATTCAAATAAACCTGTCAGTCTTAACAGAAGCCTGTTTTTCTAGCCTTGTTTCTGTTTACCTTTTTTAATGTGGTGTTTACTTGATCTTTTTTTAGTATTTACCTACTTGCTGTTTTTAGCTTTAAACATTGTCTTTTAATGATGTAAGCCACCAGGGTCCTTTTAAAGGAGAAAGGTGGGGTAAAAACATTTTAAATCAATACCTAGAATACCTTCTTCCTCCCTGTCTTTCTGTTTTATTATGCTCAGAAAAACATAGCTACCCCTGTAAAAATGAAATTCAGCTCTCAAGCTGAAAGACCTAGAAGGAAATAGGTCAGGGGTCCTGGCTAGAGTCACAAGCCAGAGACCCAGTTTGGCTGTAACACTAAACAAACCAAGTTAGATGTTCTCTGTCTGTTCCAGGAAGGAGCTCAGCATCACTCTGATGCAATATTTACCACAAGGAAGTATTCATTGATGGCTGTTGTGGGTTTTTCAGGCTTTTTGGCTGTGTTGCGAAGGTTGTTCTTCCTAATGGTTTGCCCGTCTCTGTGGCCGGCCTCTTCAGAGGACAGGAGTCGGAACTCTTGTCTGTGCTCTGGTGCAGTTTGTTGAGTATTTATAGCTGTGGGATCAGCTTTTGTCCTTTTCAGGAGATGGGGTGATTGTGGTGACCAGACAGAGTTCTGACTCCTGTCCTCTGAAGTTCTGACTCCACAGCCACCATCAGATCTGGACCATGAAATACATTGAGAATACTTTGAAGTATTCATTCTCTCACACACACACACATGCTTGCACGCACTTCCTCCCACTGCTCCTGGAGTACCCACCAGTCCATAATGTTTGTAGACAAAGCGGCCGAGAAGCCAAATATGTTGAAACTCAGCTCCGTCGCCGTACACAAGGCGAGCCCTCCCATCACAGGGACGAGCGAGAGGTTCACCAGCAGTCCTAGAGACGTCGGAGAGAGAAAGAAAAAGGCCCAGATTTCACACAGACGCCTTTACAAAACAGATCCAGGCAGGTCGAGGTCAAGGAATCACAAAGCCATTCCAACCGCTTTGCTGAGATTCTGGACAGACACCAAAAGTTGTGTTGCTTCCCACACAGCCCAGTTTAGAGCGTCTCAAAGTGCCTCCTGGCTCTGTAAGTTTCTGATCCAAGGAATGTGGCCAATAGGTGATTTCTAGAGGCTATTAAAAATCATGTTATTGATCTAATTATCCTTTGCCCACCCGTGGACAAGCTCCTGCTTGTTGATGGAAGACGCTCCAGAAAGAGGAGTCGGAATGTATTTCTGGAGCAGCGCCACGCACCATAAACACATCCACCCGCGTCCCCTTCAACGACACTTACCAGTGTATTCTCCAAGAATCATGCGGGACATAATGACGGTGAAGATGGGTGAGGAGCTTTTAACCGTCTCGGCAAACGAAACCGCAACGTTCTTTAAACTGACGAGGCCCAAAACCACCGTTGCAAACCTGAACGGAAAGGGAACGGGGGAATAAGCGAAGAATAAAAGAGTTGTGCCATAAATGGATGGATGGATGGATAGATGGATGGGAAGCATATAGTGCAAAATCTATTCATAAATCTATGAGGGGTTTGCAGTAAAACATCAAGGGTTTCCAAGTAGCGGTTGTAAGAAAAGGAAGGAAGGAAGGAAGGCCGAAAGGAAGGTCCGCCTATTAAAAAAAAACTTTAAAAACTTTTTAAAGGCAAAATACAGCTGAACTATCTAGAGCGCTGCCCAAGCAGGTAAATAAATAGATCAGAACTTGAGATAAGGTATGTTTTCAGACCAGTTCAGAGTTCAGAAAAGGGACACTGCTATTTTAATAATTCATGCTATACATAGCATGGTCTCTGACTCCCTCTAGTAGCCAGTTCTGGTAACTTCATCTTTAGAAATATATATTTCTAGGATTTTTCTTTTAATATTTTTAATATTTTTATACTGGGGACCAGTGAACCAGTGGATCCTGATTAGAGATGGGGATGAATATAAGAACAGATCAGTTTTTCCAACAAATGCAGCCAATTCGTTAAATATTTGTTGATCCATATTTGTGGGTTCCAGAGACCCCCACGAATACGAAGGGGTGAATATTTGCCTGTTTTTATTCGTCCTTCGTATTAAAAAACAAAAAACAAAAAACACACCATTCTGCCTACCGGCCGCCGATCAACTGATCGGCAGCAGAAAGGCAGCCACCACCCCACACAGCCACCCAATACCACAGCTTACCCCCCTTCCTTTCTGCCCCATGCTACCCCACCCCATTCCCACTGACATCCCCTTGCCTTAATAGCTGCTGCCAGGTCTCCATCAGGCCTTCGCAGCCACGGCGTGTAAAAATACTGGTTGCCCTTTGCAAAGATGGAGGCTGTGGCTTCTTTTAGGGTAGGGAAGCCGCAGCCGCCATCTTTGCAAAGGGCACCCAGTCTCCCTTTTTACGCGCCATGGCTGTGAAGGCCTGATGGAGACCTGGCAGCAGCTATTAAGGTAAGGGGGTGTCAGTGGGAATGGGGTGGAAGCTAAGGTAAGGAAAGGGGGAGTGGGGGATAGGCTGTTGGGGTGGCTGGCTGTGTGTGTGGGGGGCGGCTGCCTATCAGCTTCTGATCAGCTGGTAAGTGGCCAGTAGGCAGAATGGGTTTCTGTTCCGTGTGCTAAACTCTCCTGGGGGAAACCAATTTGTGGGTGAATAGCTCAGATGTCCGATATCCAATCTTCACCAAAGTTGGCAGGCGTGTTGGGGAAAGACATAGGACGTTCTGCTGTGATTCTGGAGTCTCTAAGTACCTGGGGGGACATTTACTGGGGGGAGTCCTCTTTGTGACTATATAACTTGGGGGTCCGTGATCCAATGTGCACCAAACATTCAGGAGTTGTAGATACACGTCTGAGGACACTTCCCTGCAAATCCGGTGTCTCTAGGTCATTTGGGCCAGTGTGATAGCTGTTTAAAGTGCAGACGAATTGATGGATCAATTCACCGATTCGTCAAAGAATATTCATATTCATTGATCCATTGACCCTGACGAATAACGGATCAAAACGAATCACCAGGGAGCTAAATTTGTCCCCATCTCTAATCCTGATCCCATGGATACAGGGTTCCTAATGTAATTTTCTACAGGCTTAGAACGAGATCATCTTGGCTAAGGAAGGGTCCCGGTGTCTTACCTCATCAACCCGACAAACAGCATGATCATGATGAAGTTGGGGGGGAAGGAGACGCGAGCCTTGTGCTGGTAGAGGCAGCAGGGGACAAACATCTTGACGCAGCCGATGAAGGTGGTGGAGAGCATCTGAACGGCCCCTGGAAGATGAACGATAAAGGGAAAGCCCAGTCCCAATGAGACGAGGATCTGTCACAGACTCTTATTCTCCTCTTCCACCTTTCATGGAAAACCCTCACACCTCCTAGAATGGTTCAGTCAGCAGATTTTTTTAAAAAAATCAACTTCCCAGGATCTCTGAACAGCTCGCCTTCCTGTAGAGACATGCCCAGGACTTGAGATCTGCTTCAGAGAGGCCAGGTGTGTTTTGGCTCCAACCCAAGCCAATAGGTGGGAGCATAGCTGGCAGCGAAGGCTTCTGGGAATTGCAGTCCAAGAATCCCTGAGGGACCCAAAGTTGGGGAACCACTGCTCTAGCGCTGAAGCGCTAAAGCGCTGTGTATATGGATACGAATGAGGAACAAAAAAATTGTGAAGAGCGTTTGCCACATCAAAGAGGTTGAGAGAAGGGACCCTCAACCAACCCAAAGCAACATTCAGAACGAATCCCTAGCTATTCTCTGTTCTGGTGGTTTGTAAGCCAGTTTTCTGTCATTTTTGGCCCAAGGAAGGTGGCAAGCGTGGAGATCTGCTCCCCCAGTTCTACCAAGGGGGTCTAGGGTTCCCCCGGACTCCCCACCCCCTTGCCCATTACACCAACAGGCTCCGCTCAAGAAACATTACCCAGCATGCTCGGCTCCCCTTCCAGCAAGGAAAGGATGTATTTATTCAGGAAAAGCGTGCAAAAGCTGAAGAAGAACCACAACGTGAGGTAGGTGAGTGCGTGCGAGTTCCAGATGCCGAGGTCCGACTCGATGACCGTGGTCTCCGTGATGGTGATCTTCAACACCTTCTCCTCCGGCACGCTGTCGCTCCTCGCAATGACGAACTTTTCGCTCCGGGGGTGGAACAGCAATCCCAGGGGAAAGAAGGCTTTGCTCTTGGGCTTTTCCTCCGGGGGGAGAGGAGAGGCCGTGGGACTGGGGTCGGAAAGAGCGGCAGCATCCTCCAGACTTTGGCTCCTTCCCAGGGCAGCCATCTTGAGGGAGAAGAACAGGGGGTGGCCTTGAGCTTGGTGAGCATCGACCAGAACGTCTTAAAAGCTTCACTTGCTAACAAATAACTTCAGGAGCTCTTGTTGGTCCATAGTTCCATTCCCTGTATTTGCAAAGAACAAAACAAACAAACAAACAAAAACTTTACTGTTCGATTTTTCAATTTGGAAGGCTAGACTACTGTAATCCACACAACAGGGGGCTCCCTTTGAAGACTGTTCAAAAGGTTGCCAAATTTGGAATCTTGTAAAAGCTAGGAATTCAGAGCATGTAGCTTACATAATAATACTGAACTGTGCCGGCTATCTATTTGCTTTGAGCTTACTGAAAATCTGAGGGTTGCTCTTTTTTTAACCCCTTGAAAGCCCAAAACAATTAGTTTAGGGTTGCTCGCAGCTATCCTGCCTAGATTTCAAGACCGACCTGGGCTTTTTGGGGAGAACATCTCCCCATTTCTAAATTTATGTATTTCTTTAGGAGTCCCAGAAAGCCACATTAAAATGACTTCAATAAAGCCAGACCTGACCCCCCCCCCCAGCATGGTGTCATCTTCTGGATATTATGCAAACAACATACTACTGAGTTCCTACACGAAAATATAAGAGCAGCTGAGGTTTTGTACTTGTTGATCATCTTAGCGTAATCATCTTAGAACGGCAGATCTGGAAGGGACCCTGTAGATCATCCAGTCCATCCCCTGGCAAGGAGGCCCAGGAGGGATTTGCTCCCCCAACCTCTGGCTCCACAGCCAGATGAAAATCACTGAGCTATCCAGCATCTGTCTTTTGATCAGAACGAGCCATTTCTGCCTGGATCTCTTGCCGCATTTAAAAAAGGCATGAAGGGGTTAGGTAAAGGCCCCAAATACAGAAAAAGGGGCACCTTTCGACTTTCTTTGGCTGGCCATCATAAGATTCATCCTCGCTTTAGGCTCTATTCATTTATTTGCAATTATTCATTTACACTTTATTTGCTTCTTACAGGCACTGGCAACATGATCTTCTAATAAGCTTCCCAGGAGAGATTAAGGTTCTTTATTTCCCATGATTGATTAAAGCTCCACAGAATCAACAATTCTCTAGTTTAAAGCAGCCTCAAACCATCACAAAATGCATCCATGAACATGGGTTTTCTTAAAAAAATAAAAGCACAGCTCCTGCTTAAAAAGTTTGGGTATGGGGAGGGGGAGGAACCATGGCCACCTCGGGCCACTATCCTCCTACCCATGAGCGGGAAGTCCTTCTTAGCAGAGATATACAGAACTGCACACTTATGGCTTTTGTTCGCAGTATTTTCTTAGCTGCTTTTCAGGAGGGACAAATATTTTGCTGCAAATACTGTAAGAAAGGACTACGGAAGGAAGGTGGGGAAGATCTGGGACTTCCCAGTTTGAGACACATCCACAGCACCTGATCAGGATTCTTGTCTGAAAGCTCGGCAGAAGAAAACCACAGGGGACCCATTCCTGCCTTCCTGATGAATCAATTACCGCCATGAAATATTTACCGTCCAAATCCCTGGCGACGGCATGGGGGCCCGTGAAACAGAACAGGGAAAACCGGCCGCCTTAAGAAGCTTAAATCTGCGCTCCCTGGGCTATGAAATTGGTCTTTGAAAAGAGGATCCAGTCAGCCGATGCCACGTCTTCGTCTCTCTGCCAGAAGGCGCACACTTGTGTGTGTGCGGGTGGGTGTGTTGAAGGAAAACAGTAACAAAAAGCAAGTTGAAGCCACCCCACAACAGGGCAGAATCCATCGGAAATTTGCATCTGGAGTGGCCGTGTCTCTTCTTTTATGGAGGGCAGTCCTTGATCTAAAGAGCTGCCAGAATCTCACCAACATGTAATATAATTGCGTGCCATCAAGTCAATTCTGACTTTCCAAGGTTTTCCAGGTAGAGAACACTCAGAAAATGGTTCCCCCCTTCCCTTCCTCCAGGGGGCGCCCTGGGATTGTGCAGGTGGCCCAAGGCTACCCAGGCTGGCTTTCCTCCCAGGAAAAAAACAGTGGGGGAATCAAACTCCCAACCGTTGGCTTCACAGCTAGAGATCTCAACTACTGAACCTATATAGAGGGACATTTCTGGGCTCAGAGAGCAGGGCAGCAAAAGGAAGCTACGGAAATAAAGAAAGAGACTCAAGCGGAGCGCAATGAAACAAACCTATCTCAAGAGTTTTATCAAAATGGGGCCCGTGAAGCTGAAGTCCACAGGGCAGGAGAAGGGAGTGGTGGAAACGAAAGCGGCGAGCCTCGGGTGATTTCCTAGGCAACACACAATGAAATAAAGGAAGAGTCTAACTCGTATCCTTAAGCAAAAGTACGTAGGGTCCCAGCCCCATCATGGTGGGTGCCCGAAATGTAAGACCGACTAGCCACTGTAGTAAAGATACACAACCAGATGGCCCTTTGATAGGGTCCATCAGGGGGAAAAATACGCAATTATAAATATTTGACAATATCTACCAGCATCTCTCATAAAATTAGGTAAAGCAGAGCTATCTGTAGCTAGCTGTGATGGAACTTCCACAGCCAGTGATAGTTTACGTTTGCCTATCAGATGCTAAGCCATCGCAATTGTCGTCCAAGACCATCATTGACCATAGTTTATCAATGATGATGATGATGACAACGGAATCCCTCATTCAACAAGATCAGCAGCCGAGATATCTGGGGATGATGGGAGCTGTAGTCTACACAAGCAACTTCTCTCAGCTTTGCACAGGCACTTAGAATCAAGAGATTTCATCTGGAAACATTTTACTCCAAGCCAAAATGTATACAAAAGTAAAACAGTATCTACTGACAATAACCTATTATGGAGTTTGCAAGGTTAATTAGCAGCTGCATTATATTCCAGCATGCATCAACTACATTGTAGCCGGGGACATCTCACTTCCACATAGCATAAGCAGGCTTCTCTCTCTCTCCACACACACACACTCAAAAATAAACAGACACAAATCTTCCCCTCCAAAATGGCGACATTCAGAAATGAATGGGAATGGAGCACTGATCAAGAAATTTGATTCGGCTCACTTTGGCATCAATAGAGACGTTGGTTTCTTGCCCCCCACTATAAGGGTTCATTTACGCAGCAAAGCTAAGGTTAACTGAAGCGTTACCTGATGCGGTTTGCAGTGTCTGTGGTGTGTATTTTGCCTCTTTCTGACTTAACAAAGTTACGGCAGACTTTACATGGACATTTCGTTACCAGCTGACCGGCTGTACATATGATTTCACACACACCCCTCCGTATCTGTGGGCCTATGTGCCCACATGAAATTTAGTCCCTAAAATCGTAAACCCTAAATTCACCAGTCTTTAAGGTGCAGCAAAATCTTCTGATGTTTGTCTCGGAAAAGGGTGGGGACTCCTAATCAATCAAGATATTTCGTCCTGTCTATTACGGCCTCAATCAAGACCCTGGGGTTGTTTGAGGGTTAAACAAGGCAGGCAAATGATGGTGTTGCATCATGTAAATGTTACAGCCTGCATGTCTTATATTTCTTAAAAATCGGACTGCTAATCCCATTCAGAGTAGATCCAAGTGCTGGCCTGGGAATCAACACCTGTGTAAATCTCATTGATTCAGTGAGTCTCCCCAATGTGATTCAAGCCTGTGTATCACCCTGAATTTATTAAAACTCAAGTCTCTCTCTCCAGCTGCTTATAATTCTTATTCTTTACCACACTTCTATTAGCCTCAAGGAGCAGGGTTAAAAATAGGGGGATGATGGGCAACAGAGTTCACAGCTGGTTAGGTGAAAGGTTTTGAATCCACACTCCCCTAAACTGGAGCAGAGGACGAGAAAGCAGAGTTACAGCCCACACCATCTGGAAAGCATGGGGCTGGATAAATGTTCTGGATTCCAACTCCCATTAGCCCCAGGCAGGAGGGCTGAGGGTCAAGGACGATGGGGAAGGTTGCATTCCTGAACAGACCTAAAACCTAAACAAACACAGGGCTAACAAACAAAAAAAAATACAAACAAACGCCAGATAAAGATATGATTGGAATCGCTCCTGATTTCTCCCGCAACACAACGAAGTCAAATAATCCGAATTAAAAGCTGTCTTCCCCGGCCCTACAAGGAGACAAAGCGCTTTTTTTTTGTTTTTTTGTGCGCAATCGGGGCTGGAAAGAAGAGGAGCTTCTGCCGCTTCCCAAAGACATAAATACTTTCCAAGTATATTTCTAGCCACCCGCGGGGAATATTTTCTTTTTTTGCAATAGGAACTTTCCCTCCTCAAACGCCACGCCGGGCATGATGCAACGCAGGATCCGGACCCTTGGCCGGCACACCCACCTGCCTCGCTCGCTCGCTTCTTCTCCCCTCCTGGCAGGTCTCATCCTGCTCTTCCGCAGCCATCATCCTTCTCTACCCCCCCCTCCCCACACACACACCGAACAAGGAGACCCGCCTGCCCGGCTCAGCTCCTCCTCTGCCCGGGCGGAGCGAAAGCAAGCCCCGGAAAAGAGTTGAAGGATCGCCCTCCCTGCTTCCCTCCAGGGCTCTACTAGCCTCTGAGCATGTGCCGAGGGCGCTGCCTTTTTAAAAAAAGCCTCCCACGGGCGTGATTTCCTTCTTCCGATTGTAAATGCAGTAAAAACAATAATAACAACACGAGTTTTGTTCCATTCGTCTGAACGCCATCGTGAAAGTAGGATCCACCGCCTGGAGCACCATCTGTGACTGAAAAGATGATGGGGGTAGAAACGTGATCATCCCACATCCTGGACACCAAAGGAGTTAGGGTCGTGTGTGTGTGTGTGGGGGTAACTCAGCAGGATTTGCACCCAGGACACAAGGAGGGACAGATCTTGGCAGAGGCAAACTTCGAAAGCTATCCTGTTCGCCCCGGATCATTGTCAGTAACTCTGGAGGCGGTGCAACGGATCCGTCCCTCAGGTCTGGGTCTGTGGCAAAAGGAAGCCTCGGGTCGAAAAGGGTGTCATTTATGGGAGGAGGCACCCCGAGCAGCTAGGATTTCCATTAAGACCCAAACTCGAGCTCGAGATCATAAAAGATCAATGTACTCAGAAATCGATAGGAGAATATATATTTTTTCATCTCTTTGAGAGACCTCATCTGGGACCTCCGGGTGGAAATGAGATAGAGCCATGCAAAAGCAGGCCACACGAAACGTGTTCGTCTTTCTTGGCTCTGTTTGTGACAGAGACCAAAAGAAAAAAAAGATATATTTTTTAAAAAAGAGGGGGAGTTTGGAATGATCTCAGGACGTTTGTGTGTCACTCTCTAATTTAATATCTCTATGGGTTTCCTCCTCTCTACGTGCAACGTGTTAGCAGGCGAAGCGGTTCCACCCTAGAGATATGAGCTATAGAGAACATAGCGTCATTCGGACTTGATGACACTTATTTCCTTGGCTAACTTTGAAAATTCCTTTTTCAAAAATACTTTACGTACGTCTTTATTATGCAGCCTCCAGCCCTCATTCAACCCCCCAAAAGCCTTCAAGCTCTTTATTCGTTTACCCGACATTTCGTGATTCTACTATTTTCTATCTCTAGGGTTCTTCAGCGCCGAAGGGAAGCCCGTGGCTGAAATCTCCTCCCAAAATGGCGGCCTTCCCTGTCACCGGAAGTGGCGTCGCTCCGTCCTTTGCCCGCCGCGTCTATGGTCTCTCCCCCCCCCCCCCCCCNGCGGCTTCGGGCCCCCCCCCCCCCCCCCCGCTTGCAGGCGCGGCTCCGGCTCTTAACCGCGACGCCATGTAATTGCCGCCGTCGCCATGGAGCCGCCCGACACCAGGTAGCCACGCGGGGGGGTCTTGTAGCCACTGCGGGGTGGGCTGGAGGCTGCTTGGCAAGGCTGGCAAGGGAGAGCGAAGTGGCCAAAGCCACGGACTCCCCCCCCCTTCGCCCGGATAAACAACGCCCTCCAGGCGTGACGTTGCCTTAACCGCGACGCCATGTAATTGCCGCCGTCGCCATGGAGCCGCCCGACACCAGGTAGCCACGCGGGGGGGTCTTGTAGCCACTGCGGGGTGGGCTGGAGGCTGCTTGGCAAGGCTGGCAAGGGAGAGCGAAGTGGCCAAAGCCACGGACTCCCCCCCCCTTCGCCCGGATAAACAACGCCCTCCAGGCGTGACGTTGCTTGGCGCCGTTAACCACACACCGTGACGTCACCGCAGCCCACGACGTCACTTTCCAACAACTTAGAAGGCGCTTCTAATCAAGAGTATTTGAATAGAGCCTAGAGAGAAATGTGCATTTGCAAATAGACTTTTTTTTTTAAAAAAGTGGATTTACTAGTAAATCTGAAGCCTCAAGAGGACTAGAAAATCTCAAGCCTCAAGAGGACTAGAAACTTGGTTTTCGATTTAAATTGAGGGGTCGGGGAGTTCAGCATTCGTTTTCCTTATTGCCATGGTAGGGGAAGGGTTTTTTTTTAATGGCGTGTTGCGCCTTGTTACTTTTAATGTTTTCGATGCTGATTTTGTTTACCACGGCATTGGTTTTGATACTTTTTAATATTTGTATCCTTGCTGCTTTTAGCTTTTAAGGGTTTTCTTCGTAATGAGGCACAGACCACCTTGGGTCCTTCTAAGGCGGAAAGGCGGGGTAAAAATAAAATAAAATAAAAAGGGATTCCTCCCTGAGCCAAACTCTTTGTGTTCTTCGTCCTCCACAATAAGTTCAGGAAAGTGTAGCTGCATTGGGGAAGGGGATATATTTTTGTATCTCAGGAGGATGCCTGGATCGGGAAAAATCGTGTTGCAACATCCTTCCTGGTTTGTATTGCTTTCGAGAAGGGACTGAGGAGACAGGAAGAAGCTGCTTCTGTTGCCCAGAAGAGGTTCCAGTTCTTCTTTTAAATGGCCATTTAGGCTGTAACCCCCCCCCAAAAAAAAACCTAACAATCATATCAGATGGCACCCACAAAGCAGAACCAAGAGCCTCCATCCTTCTGTCTTGCCTATGAGAAGTCACAAGACTGGTGTCACAGCTCTTATATAGCCCCCCCTTGGTCTGACTAATCCCACCTCCTCTAGGCCCCGCCCCTTAAAGGGGAGACCCTTAAAGGGACAGATCACTAATGAGCAGTGCCACCCTCTTGTGAAACTGTGGTGATGATGGAGACACAAAGGATGATGAAAAAGTCCTAAGGTAGGGCTGGCATACTCTCAGGATTTTTGCACAGGGGATGCTGGCTTCAGAGAGCGGTCCTTTGGGCTGGGTGTCAACTTCTCTCCCAAGTTAGACCAGGAATGGCTGAACAGGGAGTTCTGATTTTTGCTGGCCGGGCTCAGCTCATCTGGGTGTCTTGGCTGTTTCTTCCCAGGGTTCTCCTTCCCTCGCCGGCAGAAACTCCAGATCCCCCATTATTGAATGAGGCTGTAAGCGCTCCACTGCCAAATCTAACGCCGAGACATCAAGAACTCATCCCGACTCCTTGCGGTCCTGTAAGTACCAGAGTTTCCAAAAGGTCTCTTAACACAAGCATGCACAAAGGGGTGCGGGAGCGCTTGTGCCAGTGCGGGTGGACAGGCAGGCACACGCTCCCTCACTGCTTCGCGCATGCACCAGAGGCTCAGCCGGTCCGCGGTGCCAGAAACGTTGGGGACCGCAGCATTAAACCACAGAAAGCGACATGGGTGGAGCTTTCTGAGTCCCATGGGAACTGCAAGGCATTCGGGAACTGGTAGTCTCTCCATTCGTTAGGCTGTGTGCCTCTTAGGAAGCTACTGGCCCCAAATGCTTTGCAGTTCCCAGGGAATTTAGAAAACACTACCCACATCCTTTTCCATGGTTTAATAATTGTCATGGTAGAAAGAGAGACTGGGTAAAGAGCAGGCATGTATTTGAAACCTCTCAGATTTTTTTTTTTGGCTCAAGTTATTTATTAATTTCATTTTATTTCCTTCCTTTCCATCCTGTTTCCCCCCCCCCCCCGGTTGTCGGTAATAAGGGGGATTGGTTTGCAGACATGGCCTAAACCAGCCGTATAGAACATATGATCCTCAGATCATTGATTCCAAACCTTGGGCTCCAAGACATTCTTGGACTGCAACTCCCAGAAACCCTTGCCAGCCCAGCCTAGTGGTCAAGGATTCTGGGAGTTTTAGTCCAAGAACATCTGGAGGACCCAAGGTTGAGAACCACTGCTCTAGGTACTATTAGTTCCCATAATCCCATTGGATTTACAGTATTGGGTGTTTAAATCTAGCATCATTTGGAAAGCCTTAGATTGCTCACCCCAGTATAAATCTCTGTCTGCTCATTACCTCCTCTCAAACATCCCGATGAATTAAGCACTGGAGTCGCTGTCCACCCCTCTTTCACTCCTTATTGCTTGTATATAAGTCCAAAAAAAAAAAACCTGCTCAGAAACCGTGTGCATGCGTGTGCTCCCAATTACAGATCAAACCATGGGCAGAACTATCCGCTCCGGTCAAGATCTACTTCTGCATCACCCTTATCTCCCTGTTGAGCATCATCGGGCTCACGGTAGAGAACCTCGTCCAGCAGAAAGACGAAGACTTCCCCGTTTCTCTCATTCAGCTAATTGGAGTCGGTAAGGAAGAACCAAGACAGGTGGGAAGGGAAAAAAATTAAAAATTGTGGTTGGACAAGAGGTATTCCTGAAAGAAAGCAACATCTCCGTTGACATTTGGGACAAGCTGTTCTGTTTACACCTCCCATCAGTCTTGCAAGGGTGAAACCGCTTGTTTAGACTAACAAAAAATAACTTTCCTTTTTTTACGGAGGAGGAATGACTTGGGTGTATTCCTATAGATGAAACAAATGAGCATTTGCTCTCCCCCCCCACCTCTATTCTGAAGTTTTTCTCTTTCTCTTGATATCACAATGTCACTTTAGCAAAGGACTCCTCACATGATGCAACTCTGGGTGGTTGGGCAACGCCCAGCCCTTCGTCTTTTCTAATGTCAACAAGCCATCAGCCTTTTAAAAAAATGAAATTGAAAACGGTGAGTTATTTCACCACCCGCCTGTTCTATTTCACAAACTGCTTGTGGGCAGCCTTGGTCCATTCATATTTCACAAGGGCTGCCCTTTAAATTGTTTGACTGTTGGACTCCCGGGCAGAGAAGCCGATGAGGTCAAACCGTCAAGGGCTATCTGGGCTTGGCAGAGATTTTCGGAGGGGCGAGACCGATGAGCTACCCAGGGTCCTTTAATCAAAGTCCCAACTCGCTGGCAGAGGCCCCCGCCTTGCCGGGAGAAGATCCTCAGCAGTTTAAAAGGACCAGGGAGGAGATGATGGGAAGAACTCCTTCAGGTTGTGCGTGCTCTTTGGGGGTTCTTTTGGCACGGAGGGGGCTCCAGCTCCAGAATTCTCCAGTTCGAAATTCTGGGGGTTTCGGCCTGCAAAGACACACCTACAGAACTGGCCTTTCACTCACCTGAAACCAGGCCTACCTCCCAGGTCACATGACCCACTCAGGCTTTCACTTCCTGTTAAACCCAAGCCATGAGGTCCTTCTTTCCATGCCTCCTTTAGTGGTCCTGTAGGATAGATAGCAGCCTGTGCAGCTAGCAGAAATGTGATTGGGCCTAAAGAGGAGTGGTCCGTGATCCCAGTTATTAACGTTTTTAAGATACTGGCCCCTCAGATCTGCATACAGAGGGCATTCGGTTAGCTTGAATGTTGTGTCCTCCATCTTAGACCATCCTGCTAGACTATATCTACCTGCACCTTTTGGTCCATATAGCCTCCCTAAATCTCTTCAGGATGTGAGGGTAATTTGGCTGTGACATCTGCTACCCATCCCAGATAGGAGCGTACCATTCTTCGGTCAAGGGTGGTGGTGTTAATGTTTAAAAAGAAAGAAAAAGGAATGTTTTGCACTGTTCCTGGGCATTCTAGTTCTTCTGGAGGTGCCCTCCGTGGTGCCTACTGAGTCGTGGGACTGTGATTCCCAGGTCTTTCTTAAAGCGACATGCCATACTTTGAGGGCATGTGTGGTGGAATAATAATTCTTCCCCCCCCCCAAAAAAAACCCCAAAATCGTGCCAGCAAAAAACTGAATTCTGCCACCATGGTTTAGTGACTGAGCAAACAAGCAGTGATGGACTCTGAACGGTAATGGTACATTATCCGTATTTAGTGAAATACAAAATGTATATAAATCAAAAAAAGAGGAGAGTAAAAAAGCAACAGCAATAGCATCCTTCTGGTTTTGGATGCCAGGCCTCCCAGAATGACAGTTGGGACATGCTTCGGACCTACCTGTCTTGAGGGCTAGAACCTTAGTCTTTTTTAAAAGGCAGCAAACACATAGCTTCATTCTGCTCTTACCATCCTGATCGTGGCAACAGATCGTACCAATGAAACAGAAAAACGTCAGCCTCTCCGGGGGAGAACAGATTGCTCTTAAAAGTCGTGCCTGTTCCAGATTGCATAATGTTTTAAATAACCATCTGTCACCTTTTAGCACGATTATTAACATGATCGGACAGGGCATAAATTTGGGAGCGATTTTGTTTGGGCTCCAGCCATAAAAGATAAACATTCCTTATTCTTATTGCTAAATAAAGATGCTGGGCTTTGCGGGGAGGGAGGTGGGTGGGTAAGGAGCTAAGCTGCTTCCAGAAAACAGGAGATAAAGGGGTTGCTTTGAAGTGTGAAATCTAGATTGCTTGGACAGACAAGCAGGATGGAGTCCATAAGCGATATGGTAGCCGGGCCCAAAGATTGGTAGAACGTCTGGCCTTCCCGCTTGTCAAGTCTCCGGGCATATTCTGGCAGCCATCAAAGGCAGGCTTGTCACCCAAAACAGCCTTGTGCTTCCGTCTTCTTACTACCATCTAACCGAAGGGGAGTTGAACCGTTGAGTGCCTCCAAAGTTTGGCCAGACGGTCATTCTCACCAGTGAGAAAGGTTTTAAAGAGAGCCCTTTGCATATTTCTCCACTTATTGCCAGTGGTGAGATGGAGCAAACATCGGTGTTTCAGCCTCAGCTCAACTTGTAAGAAGGAGAGATCCTTATTCGGTTGGGTCTTGCTCCTTGCAATGTTGACTTATGGATGTTCCCTCACTGGGTGACCAAAGCTGTATCATGGATCGCTCTGGGAAAAGTTACTTCTTTGGCCTGTGGTTTTCACAATCCCCCTTAACCAATCCGGCATATTTTCCAATTCAAAAAAAGCAACATAGTTTGCATAATTATGTTGTAAACCACCCAGAGAGCTTTAAGCGCTATGGGGCAGTAAATAAGCCGTGTGTTTTGCTTTTTTTCTTTGAATTTTCGGTGGCCACGCTCCTGTTACTTTGGAGTAGGCCCATTGAATCAGTAGGGATGTGGTGGTCTGCTCCACCATAAGTTCCACTGAGTCCAATGATCCTACTCTGTTCAAGGCGTACTTCAGCTTCAAAATAGAGTAGGCCCATTTGACTCAGTAGAACCGACCGATGAGTTGACTCACCACGGCCCCACTGATTCAATGGACCTGCGCTAGTGTGATTTATTATAAAACGCCACAAGATCTTGGCCAGGATGCTTTGGCTCTGTCGAAGTGATCCTGGCTCAGTGTGTCTTCAGAGGCTGGAAAAGTTCCTTTTTAAAAAAATCAGCTTCTAGAATCTCCCAGCCAGTCACTGTCCAAAAAAAAAAAAACACACAAAAAAACCACACACACACACACCAGGGACCTTCCGCTGGCTACTTCCTCTCAGCCTTTCCTTCCTGCCCTTAAATCAAAGAAAACTCCCAACTTTCCAGACAGGTCCTAAGGAGGAGGAATGAGGGATGCTCCTTCTAGCCCGTGCCCAGGAGATAAACGAACGCCATTCATCTAAGCAAATTTCAAATATAATACGTAACAGGGGAATAAATATCTGGGCTGACGTCAGAAAGGTCCAGCTTCCCATGCAAAGCTGGCAGTTTTTCATGCTCTGTGCTGGCCGAGAAGAGTAAAGGGTTTCTTTCTCCTACCCGGCAGTTTTCTGCATTTACTACGTGAGCCGAGGGATCCTCCAGGAGAACCGCCAGGAGCTCAGCGTCTTTATCCTCTCCATCGCGCTGGTCGTACTGCGCTCCGTCGTCAACTTCACTGTGCTCCCTGCCAGGCAGAAGCCGAAGTTGCTTGTGAGTCCGTGAGCAGACATCTCCAGAGACCCCCACCTTGGATCCGCTCCATAATAATACTTAAAAAAAAAGAATTGTATGTCAATTCAAGTCAATTCTGATTGATGGTGACCCTTTTTATGGTTTTCCAGGTAGAGAAAACTCAGAAGGGGTTTCCCATTCCATTCCTCCAGGGGGTGCCCTGGGGACTGTGCAGCTGGCCCAAGGCCACCCAGGCTGGCTTTTCTCCCTGGAGGAGAATCGAACTCCCAACCTCTGGCTCCACAAGCCAGAGGCCTAACCCACTGAGCTATCCATGCCATGATATATTATCCTGGCAACCATGGACATTATAGTCTCAGACAGGAGAGGCGTCTGAATATATATGTCAGTTATTGTGATTTTTGTTCAATACTGAAACATTAACAAAGTATGTGAGACCAGAGAGGCCCGTTTGTGTAAATGGGAATAATTTCCAGATGCCCCCTAGTGAGAATAAGCTGTTCATTTTTTCTTGGTAGTCCCTGAAAAAGGAAACTTTTCCCAGCGTTGGCCCAGTTCTCGAGTACTTCCCAGAAAATGTCATTTTTTAAAAAAATCTCTTATTCCTACCTAGCAAGAGAACTGTGCCTTTATGTGAGACCATTTCTGCTCTGAAACAAAATGGCCTTGTTTTAGCAAAAAAAAGAGAAGAAATGCTAATGTTCAGCTTCCCCCCCCAAAAAAACACGAAGTGCCTAGCAGCCCTTCGAGTCAGTTCCTCCTTCACTTGGAGGAGCTGGTACTGGCCAATACGTCCTGCCTCCCCAAGGCCCCCAGAGCTTGGCCAACTCTGCCCTCACAAAATGCCAAATTTTGGTGAGGCCACCAAGGAGAGACCCTTCTTGTTGTCCTTCTCAGACCCGTATGTCCCATAGCTAAGACCCAGAGAAGGATCTCTTTCCCAGATTTTAGGGTGCAGAGAGCACCGGTCTCAGAGGTGATCCCCACGCCCTTCCACTCACACCGCTAGATCCCGACCCTTTGAGTGAGTTTCACCCACGTCCTTCTGTTCCGCTGTTCTCCCCCAGTGGATATGCCACGCCTGCCCTTGACCCCATCCCCTTCTCACCCAGCGGATGGAGTGTGACGGAGACCGCTCTGATGGAGGCGAGGGCGGGCCGCGGGGAGGGACGGCCCCTCCTGACTTAACGGGTTCCGTTTTTCTCCCTCCAGGCCCGCTTTGTCCTGATCCTGATCGTCGGGGCCTTTGACGTGATCTGCGCCGTCATCCTGATGCAGAGCGACAGCATGATGGCCTTCCGGGTGGGCGGGGCGTTGGAGAGCCTCCAGGCCCAGTACTTCATGCTGAACCTCTGCTTCTCCATGCTGACCTTCGACCTCCAGGCTCAGGTAGGGCTCGGGACAGAACCACACTGCCCCCTCGGCTCCCCCCTCTTTGCTGAACACTGTTGGGCTCGCCTCGATCAACTAACGAGGAATGCTGGCGTTTGTAATGACCAGAGATTTACTGGCCTGCCTTTCTGCAGAGACTTGGCCAATATAGGAAGCTGGCACAATAGAAGCAGATCAAGTGGCTGAATCCCCAGCAAGGGGAAAGAGTCCAGAAAAATAACTCCCTGGCTTTGCTCTTGTGTCACAAACTCTCCCGTCCCTTGGCATGGGATCCTTTTGGCAACCTTTGGTTGCTGTTACGAGATGTGGGTCCAAAGAGATCATCTGTGCAATGAGTCTTTTCAAATATGTGACCCATGAACCATCCAGCTAAAGATGCAGGGAGCAGGATATAGCCTCTCCTTGCTTCCTTCTCTCCTCCCCTCCCCTCTTCTGTAGAGTAGACCTTTGGTCTAGATGGGTGGGGTATAAATCTAATAAAATAAAAATAAATAAGATATAAATTCTGCTTCGCCAGCTCTGCTTGTGCGTTCTACTTCTTATCTCGACCCGGGAGATCTCCTTTCTGCACAGCGTCCTCTTGACCGTTGGGATTCTTTGGGCTGGCTTGAAAGTCACATGCGGCATCATTGCGGTGAGTGTTTCCTGAAGCCCGGGGGGTCCCGTTTCCTAAGGCCAGGGTCACCCATCTGGTAAGGAGCTGGTATGGGGAAGAAGCTGCCTTAGCTCTGTCCTTGATCCACCCACACAGGCTTGGATGCTCACCCTCTCCTCCTCTAAAAGAGGAGGAGCAAGTCTGCCCTTGATCCGGCGCACAGCGAAGGAGCTGCCCTACCTTTGCCCTGTTATATAGGATCACATCAATGGGTCACACCAGAAACTTAGGAAGATCATAGGCTCCTTTCAATGGGAAGCCAAGACGGTCAGAGCTAAAGGAGATGCAGAAGGTCCCCTCCCTGAAACCAATCATGTCGCCTGAAGTTATTCAATGCAATTCATGCTCTCTTTTCCCCAGATCTTAAAAGAATTAAAACCTCTAGCCTGGATTTTTCTGGTTCAAAATTTACCTGAAGTGGCTTATCTCGCCTACCTGCTCTACACAGTAAGTCCTACCAAGGCATTAAGAAGAAACACGGATAATTCTTCCATCATAAAGTCGCTTGCCCTCGGGACACCAGCAAAGCATCTCCCACCTTCGCTTGGGCTCCGGAGCAGAAGTTCCAACGGGAGAGGTCCCTTCTCAAACCTGCCCAGAACTGACCGACTCCCCTGAAGGCATCTGGACACCACCTTAACTATGTTTTTGCAAACTTTGAACTAAGGTGGGAGACCTCTTTCTGACTCCATGATTCTAGGATTCTGGGGGAATTCTAGAATGCTGGTTTCTCCCTCTCTGTTCTGTTGCCCATTACAATTGTACATTATGGGTGTGACAGGCGATTTTTCTCTTCCCCCCAAGGTGGTAACTGACTGGGGCCGAGGGAATTCGTACGCCCTGGAAGCGGCCGTGATCACCTGCTCCTGCATCTCTGTGGGCATCAAAGGCGTCCTTCTCTGGGCGCTGTTCCACGTCTACCGCAGCTTTGGGCAAGGACTGAGAGAAAGGAGTGAGTATTTTGGGCAGATCTGCTAGTGGGATACAAGGGGACTGGAGAAGAAGTCATTTTCGTGTTTTGCTCGTGGCTGGCACCCGAGCAGCTGGTCGGCTAGTGGCCACTGGCCACTGTGTCCCGGCCAGAAAGTTCCAGTTAAACCACATCTCATCCTGCCGTCGAGGGCTTGTGAGAGCTGTTGAAAATGCCAAGAGGTTGCCCATGGCTCTCTGATGGGTGGGAAAGTTGGCAGTCGGCAGTCAGGGCAAAACCCGCTGTGGCCGTTAAAGTCTCCCTGATAGGATGGCATGCGGGGCTCCTGACCATTCCTTGTGCTTGTTTCTGTCTTCCTTTTCAAAGAGAAATGAGCAAGATTCTGAACCCTCTCTTCCTCCCTCTGTGCAGTGTTTTCTTCCTATGGAAGGATTGATTCCTGAAAGGAACACGTCTCGCCACGATGCTCTTATAGAGCGAAAAGGGACTCCAGGAGGATCTGCTCCCTGACCTTCCCCAAATCTGGGCTTTGGGAAAGCCAGGCTGAGGTGGGTCTCACCCGCCCGGCTCCGTCAAGGAAGCAACATCTGGTGTCCGTCACTGAGCCTCCACTCATTGGGTTGTTCTCGTTGACCTGTGGGACTCCCAACCTCATGAGTAATCAGTATTACTTCACTGTGTCCCATTTTTCAGAAACATGGAGTCGGAGGTGTCACATAACGAGCTGTGGCGGCTCATGATCAATGGGGCAGCATTTCCCTTCGCTCCAATTCCCCATCTGAATACAGGCTTGACTTCGCCTGAAAAGTTACGTTTCTGGACTACAGCCTCCAGCCACATTGGCCAGGGGAGGGGGGAGCGGCTTCCATAGTTCAGAAAAGTAACTTACCAAAATTCTGATCTTCCTGGCCGCCACAGGCTAGGTAGATCCTTTACCCAGGCTAAAGAACCACACTGTTCTCCAGACCGGCCTCCTTCTGGACGTGTGGTCTTAACTCCCTCCCTGCTTCCCTGGGGAAAGGCAATTAGTTGCTTTGGGGCTGCCGAATGCCTTAGAGTCACTCTGGATTCGTCCGCAAACCCCAGACGCTCATCTAATCACAATCTGCTCAGCAAGGAGACGCAGGCTGTACGTTCCGAGCTGTACACACCTCCACAAAAATGGCAGATCCGGCCATTTAATGGATTGCCCTGTTTTGAAATCCCAAACGCGCCGTCACTTCTGGAAGTTCCCCCTGCTAGCCTTTCGGCCAAAACTTCCAAGTCCTCCCGGCAAGCGCTTTGGCAGTTTGCTCGCGCCCGTTGTAGCTGTGTGGCTCGTTTCTTGCTAAACTGGTTTCACGATGGGGGGACAATGACACCAGAGCTGACCTGCCCTCAAATCTTTAATTTCGCTGCCTCCTTTCGGAATAATCGAGCACCTGCCATGAGGGCGCATCCTTGAATGTGCTATTTCACAGCAGAGTGGTGTTTGTTTTTTTTAAAAAATGTTTATTACTGTCATTTCAAAGCTTTGTTATTTTGCTAAAAAGCATCAGGAACAGTAATTTATTAAAAAAGTTTGTTACTAGCCTTGTATTTTCCAGTAAAGTGTGAATCTCACCTACTGGAGTTGCTGATTTTTTTTAAACCACATTTATTCAGACAGAAAGCAATTTATTTTTTTAAAAATCCCTGAAATGTTCAAGTAACATATTTATAAATCTCACACCAAAGAGACAGCAGCCTCTGTATCTCCTAGCTTATGTCGGCAGTTCCTAATGGTTTACGAGGGCAAGCTGGCTGTTTCACCATTTGCAGACGAAAGACTTATCTTTGCTTTCATAATGGCTTGCCCGGAATTACTTAATACCTGTTTGCTGCGCCTATTACTGCTGCTCGGGAGCTGGGTAGAGAAATTTCCACCCTGGAGGTCAGCAGGAAAGATTACACAACGTATTTACTCTTGAGGTACACTGCCAGATCATTTATTTTCTCTGCCATAACAGTTTCCCTTTTATGCACCCTCCTGACTGGTGTTATATCAGCGATATGTCAAAACAGGTGCACATCATGATAGGCTTGTGATAAATGAATATCCAGAATGCTCTTTTAAGTGGACAGATGAGAAATATGGTGCATCTTTACAAGGACAGCCTCCCTGGTTAACGGTTTGCTTCCCATTTAATTTCTTAAAAAGGGTGAAGGTAGGAACCAAGGATCGAGAAATGGGATCCACAGACAGCTACGCGTCTTCCCTCCGGCCACCGGGTAATCTAATCCCTGGGCACACACGGATACCCAACCACTGCGCCACGCAAATTTTGCAAAAAAAAAAAAAGTTTATTGAAAAGATCTGGAAAATAGTTATGCTCTCAGCAATATTTAACAAGTTTTCAAAGCACTTAATAATATGAAACAATCAAGCCACACACAGCTATGCGCCTTCCCTCCGGCCACCGGGCAATCTAATCCCTGAGCACACACGGACACCCAACCACTGCGCCACGCAAACTTTGCAAAAAAAAAAAAAAGTTTATTGAAAAGATCTGGAAAATAGTTATGCTCTCAGCAATATTTAACAAGTTTTCAAAGCACTTAATAATATGAAACAATCAGCTTTCCCCCCCCCCATTTAAAAAAAATTCCAAATTCTGGGCAGGCAGGGTCTTTAATGTCCGTTTAACCTCTTTTGCGAAAAGTTGACTAGCAAAGACCGGTGATGCACCACCACCAGGCCTACAAAAATCTCTTATTCCTCCTGTCACCAGCTTTCCACCCGGCCCCTTTCCTCCAGCATCCGTCCCACGGGCTCTGTTTGAGGATGCTGGGAACAAGCTCTCAAGAGCTTGAGACCAGATTCATAGGAGGGAACTTCCCCTGCAAGACGGGGCAGCTGCCTTTTAGGAGCCAGCTGGTTACGGGTCCTCTCTAGACGTTGACTTGACGTGTCATGCTCAAGATCATCCTTACACATCATGGCTTCATCAGACAGCCCCCCCCCCACCAAAGCCTTCCAGACAGACTCTCAAAACCAAAGTGTCTTTGGGAGCTGATCAGTAAACGATGGTTCCTTTTCCTTATTCCTTTACTGAAACATGGAGAAGTTCACATATCTTAACACCCAACGAAGCAAACGGGCCAATCTCCTCGGTGACCTCCAGGCTTTTAGACTCTTTGGTCGAAATAACAGGTCAGAGAGAGAGATTTTTTCTGCTTAACTTGACGGCACAGTTAGGAGGCAGAGAAAAAGTGGCTCCCCATTTACGCCGTCCACTTTAAAAGTCTTCTGCTCTGTCTTATTTGTTTGTCTGAAATTATTTTGGTATAAAATACCCCAAGCAGAGCTTAAGTAGCATTCACAAATGGCAGAAGGGGATGATGACCTTAGAAACAGATTAGGGACAAGGGTCGGGTCAAGGCAACTCAAGAAAGGGTTTCTCTGGGCCGCCCTCTTGACACCCGAGATCTTCAGTCAGAGCCCAGGAATAAGGTTCCTTCCGCGAGGGCTGCTCAACTAACTGAAAACCACGCCAGGAGTCTTAAAACACCAGAGCCAAGGAGGTGGATGGGGTTCGGATCTCAGCGCCTCGCCCCGTGTGGGTTGCCGTGATTTTCGACTCCGTTGTGCCAACCCTCTCTCCTCCCAAAATTGAAAAGCAAAGGCCAGAATCTGTTCCTGGTGCCTGATCCTGGAAACGGGTCGATGGATTGCAGGAAAACAATGAGATAATGTGGGGGTTTTTGTATGAAAACAATGAGATTTGTGTATTTTTTTGGGGGGGAGCAAAAGAAAACGGTTCTGTGTCAATATCATACTTTGAATGCCATCATAACTGTACTCATACTGTCCGAAGAAGAGGCGAATGGAGGTGCCCAGGAAGGTTGTTTTTCCTGCCAGCTTCCCCAGACCCTTCACTGTCCTGAAAAAGCATGGCTGGAAAAAAAAAAGGTATTTTCAAAACCAGAAATCACCTTCTGGTCATTTCCCGATTTGATTTTTTTTCCCCTCTATGCCCCTTTTTGGGGGATCAATGTAGACCTCGGTGGTTCCTGGGGTAGGATATTAGCCGCTAGATGCCCAAAGTCTGTCTGTCTGCCCAGGTTAAAAGCTGTGCCTTCGAATGATCAGACAAGCCACTTCGATAGACCTGGCCCTCATGCCATACTGGCCACCTCTAAAGCTGAGAAAAGCCACTGAATCGGGAACATTGGCAAGTGAAAAACTCTGGGTAATAAGGATTTTATCATCTGATGGAATTGGTCTGGAGACAGGATGTACACATAAATCAAGGGCATATTATATAAAATATTTAGGGTTTTTTTAAAAAGCCATTTCTTCCATACACTAAAAAACACTGATAGATTCCGCCCCCCACTTAAGTACTCAATTTTTTTACTTTCATTTTTGGTCATTGTCTAAAAAGAAACTCCCAAGTCTCCTAAATAAGGCGCACTGCATTTTGGTAAAAATTCTCTGTACTTGAGGTGCTCTGGCTATGCTACTGATCTTTCTACAAACATTGCAGTAACTCATGCGGATGCTATGAAGCACATTTACCCTGTTTCTGAATTATTGCATCAAAAGTAAAACAAGGAACCATTTAAAAAAACTAGCCTGGTCACCACTGGTGATCAGAAACTGCATGCAGGTGAGTCAATAGGCTATTGGAGGAAAGAGGGTGTCTAATGTACTTTTTCTGTGCATTTGGAACAGAAACGAAGCAGGTCCCCTCCATGCTCAGCACAGAAACACAATTCAGACTTTACTCCAACAGTCTACAGTAAGATATTTTTGCACGCTAATAGTAACGTTTGTGCAAATATATATACTCTCATTCAGACCAACTTTTAAAACCTATCTCAAGCAGATCTGGATCCCGATGTTCTATTAAGACAAAAACATTGCAAAAAAGGTTGCTTTTTACACAAGTGCACGAACACAGACACACTTGACAATATTGTCAAACAGTTGATACTACTGTCAAGTCAGAGATGTGCAAAAACAAGGGGTGAGGAACAGAGCAGAATGAAGAGCGACGTTCAAGTGACAAAGGAAGAGGGCAGCGGAAAGACATTTTAAATGCCCCCTTCCCTAAAGTTAAGAGAGCTACAAGCCCTGGACCGAAATCCGTTTTGATTATTTAAGGTACGCTGAAGACCTTCTCCAGTCTTCCTTTTACATCACAGGTCAGCTGAAGATGCTTCAGGATCATTGCTGAGGGGGGGAACAGGATGGGACAGGTAGCATCAATTTTGATTATTTAAGGTACGCCGAAGACCTTCTCACAGGTCAGCTGGAGATGCTTCAGGATCATTGCTGAGGGGGGAACAGGATGGGACAGGTAGCATCCAAATGTAAAACCTGAATATCAAAGGCCTGGTCTACTTTTGTGCGGCTGAACTGTATATTCAAGAACAGACAGAACTGTTCTACTTAAGAACAAAAGAGGAAATACCATACAGTATTTGAGCCTTCCCCCTTAGAAAAGAAACCCAAATCCACACCTTCATCCCAAACCTAGCCAACTTTTAATAGTAAAGATGGGCTACCCAGTTTTTTTCTGGTCCATCTCCAACTCGCAGGCTGTCTTCTAGCATCTCAAGCTGGGCAAATGTGATCTCCTAACCGTCTCCTTTAAGGTATTTCGCCCCCTCATTTCTCCGAGGACGGAGATCCAGCCGGAGTCTCAATGAAAACAAAAATAATGAAGTGCTTTGGGGTTTAATAAATACATTTTTTTAAAAAAAATCTGTGGAATCCATTCCTAGAGCAACATTCTGGGTAAAGCTATACGTATACAAAAGCTAGCCTTGTTTGTAACTTTTTCAGTCCTCCAGTAATTGCCTAACCTTGAACAGGCTCTGCTTTTTTGACAGCTTTCTCTTATCTTAATCAAAACCATGTGCAATTAAAAAAAAAATACATTTGCAACCAAAAAATAGAATGTTTCTCAAAAACAAATGCAGGAGGTCTTTTAAAGGAACAAAAACCACCGTGTCCTGAAGGCACCAGAGGAAAATACGCCCGGAATGTCTTCTGATTAGACACTCATTATCGAAAGGACTCATTAAAAGCACCATCAACTTCACGGTAACCTGAATTCAGGAGGCATTTGAAGGATCCTTCCCCTCAAAAACGCTCGCCAGCCAGAGTTTGCCGGTGCCAACCCAAACGGGAGTCACCGATATGTGCCTGCTTGTGTGGACTTTTAACGGTACAGGAAAACATCCTTGCTTTTAAAAGCACACACGAACCAAGCGAGCCTATCGGGAGGATCTTCACGCCACGGATTCTCGGGGGGAGCCCCGCAGGATCGCTCAAACGACGGGAGCAAAGGGGGCAGCCGCCCCTCAAGCTGGCAAGGAGGGGGTCCTCCAGGACAGAAAAATGGGAGGGGCAAACGTCTGTGATGCAGACGTCCTGCCTGGAAGTGGTCAGCAAAGCAGGCGCACGTGGGCAGCTGTGGAGGGGGGACACGGCCAAGGCTAGGAAGAGGGCAGCTTCTGCCTCCTCGTCGCTGAACTTACCTCTGCCACTTAAAAAAAAGTTCCCCCCTCAAAGCTGGAGGAGTAACTCTTGTGGGAAAAACGGCTACAGCAGGAAACAGAAACCAGAACGGGAGATGTGTGTGTGAATTTGCTTCCCCTTGCTTAAGAGTTTGGATGGAATTTCAGCATCCCGCCATCGTCCGATGGACCACCTCCGGGGCCCATGGTCGGCACGAGAGCTCTGCCGTGCCATTGCTTCATAATCACAACCCAGCTTCCTGCAAATGAACTTTCCAGAGTCCACCAACAGAACCGTTAGGACCAGCTCCAGCCTGGTTTTGCCTCCAAAGCACCGCTGCATCTTTCAGTTATCTGCTTGGGATGCTCTCTTTATCTCAGCGCTGCCGTCCGAGCCTCCAAACGCATGTCCTACGAAGTCCCACCAGCACACACTTCCAGATGCAACTGGAAGGGAGGGAGGGAGGGAGGAAGGAAGGAAGGAAGGAAAGGAGGAAGGAAGGGAGGAAAGGAGGAAGGAAGGAAAGGCGGAAGGAAGGGAGGGAGGAACCTGCTAGTTCTGATCAACGTCAAGAAGGCATCATGATCTTAGTACAGACGTCTGTCAGCAATGATGGCCTGAAGTTACTTCAAGACTTGTCTGTACAAAAATAACAATAAAAGGGGAAGGAGACAAATGGTGATCAAAACACATTTCTTGGAAGGCTGAAGACAGGGGAAAATGAGGGGTCAGCAGGAAGCCCAGCCCGGCTGTCCATTCTCCCTTTTCTAACAGGCAGGTCTGCTGTGAACGCACAGACCTGCCGAGGGCGCCAGCGTGAGTTGATCAAAGGTCTGCCTAATCCACACACACACAAAACATTAGAGCTGGTAGAAGAATCTGAAACTCGCCAAGCGTGGAAATTGTCCTTGGTTTCAATAAGGTGTCTGCAAAACTTTTTTTTTTTGGTAGAAAACACATTGCTCGGAAAACATGTGACACATTTTACAGACAAAACATTTCGCCCGACAAACGCAACGTGACTCTCATCTCCAGCCCTTTCAACAGACAGAAACAACATGATATCTGGCCGTCAGCAGAACAGACTGATATGAGGTACATTGCTGTCTTTAAAAAAAATTGTAATATACATTATATATATCTATATATATATATAGATATATGTATATTAACTTTATATTGGTCTACTCCCCGAAGCTACAGGCTTAAAAATACATTTTTGTACAGAGGGGGAAAGTGCCGCTTGTTCTCGCCTCCCGCCAAGTCTCTGCCGGCGCTCAAAACTCTTCCTCTTCGTCCACCACAAAGTTATTTTGCTTCTTCCGGACGTTCCAGTGCAGACATTCGGCCAGGCTCTCAAACCATATATTAACTTTATATTGGTCTACTCCCCGAAGCTACAGGCTTAAAAATACATTTTTGTACAGAGGGGGAAAGTGCCGCTTGTTCTCGCCTCCCGCCAAGTCTCTGCCGGCGCTCAAAACTCTTCCTCTTCGTCCACCACAAAGTTATTTTGCTTCTTCCGGACGTTCCAGTGCAGACATTCGGCCAGGCTCTCAAACCAGTCACTCACAGGGTCTTGGAAACAGATGGAAGGAAGGGGGTAGCAAGAGGTAGTGATGCTGATACTGCAAGAAAGAGAAGCATCGCCCTGAATTAGTATGAATCCCAGGGAGGGAGAAAGCTAAGGATGGCGAGAACCTGGGCTGGGATCTCATGACTGCTAACAGCGGCTGCAAACGCTTGCAAAGAAAGCATCCCTGATTTCAAGCAGGATCTAATTAGGCAGGGGCCGGCCACAGCGGTCCTCCCAGCCAGTTCCACCCAATCAATCTTAAGGAAGAGCCTCACTGGAGCAGAGGTTCAACTGCAGTCCTGCAGCTGAGACTCCACTCACAGTCTTCGATCCCAGTGGATTCAGGTCACTGGCCAGGCTGGATATTGACTCAACCTTCCAACCCTTTCCTGGGATCAGTAAACTGAGCCCCGCCGAGGGGTTGGAGGGCGGGGCAATGTGCAGCCTGCAGAATAAACTGCAAACCACCCAGAGACAGCTCGAAGCATTACGGGATGGGAAGTGTGATGATGGATTGCTGCGGACGTTAGAAGCTAGTCTTTCTTTAGGTGCTCTAACGAAGTAAAAGTTTGCTCTGGACCGGGTCATTGTTAATTTATGTCTAACATCTGCGAACGGAGCCGCTCTCCCTTCTGAAGCCCAAAACGGTCCCAGGGGAGGGGAGGTTAGGGGCCTCACCTGTCCCCGTGGCAGATTTCCTGTCTCTTTCGCCCATCGAACGAAACCCAGGCAGTGTTCCTGGCATCCGGAGACAGCATAATCTGAGGAGAGGAAAAGAGAAGAACGGTGTGGTTCCCGAGACCTCAAATGGGAGCTGGTTACAGGAAAACAGAGAAAAGGCATCTCGTCTTGGTACTGCTGGATCGTTTCCCACTACAAGTGTGCAGATTTGTGACTTTGGATAACAACTCTCAAAATCCCCCAGGCCACACATGCTTTCTGTTAAGAGAGGGACTTATGAACACCACTTGCTGGGGGCGAAAAAAGAATGGGAAGGAGCTTTGCAGTGCTGCAATACTGCAGTGAAGACTCTGCTCAGGAGCTGAGTTCGATCCCATTGGGCTCGGTTAGCCAGCTCAAGGTTGACTCAGCCTTCCATCCTTCCAAGGTTAGTAAACCGAGTACCCAGCTGGCTGAGGGACGGGGAAGGCAATGTATAACCTGAGTAGTTAAACTGTAAATTGCCCAGAGAGTGCTTTACAACGCCGGAGAAGGAAAGGTCTTTCTTCAAGATTATGTTCTTAAACATATGAAAAGGTCCTCTGGATGCTGCTGGACTACAACTCCCGTCAGCCTTAGGCCGCATGAGAACGTGAACTCCCAGCAGAAATGGCCGTACTTCCCCACCTCCATACTAAGGTGTTTCATTTCTTCCCAGGTTTCCAGTTCTAGCGAAAATGCAGATCTAGCGAAATTGCCCAAGCACAGTTGTGATGATGGAATTCCACACCTCACAAGCTGGCTGGGAGTTGCCCAAATCTGGGCATGTTAAGATTTCCCGCCCTTTAAAGCAGCCCATTTGTCTTAAGCCTGAGGAGGGGAGGGGAAACAGAAGCTTTTCAACCCATGACCCAATGGGTCAGCTTCTTTTCAAGGGCAGGATTGGGGTGCAAAACATACGGATCAGAAGGGAGCCCCCCCCATCCCTTTGAACAGGTGGAGAAAAAGAGAGGGAGCAGAAGTCTCTAAAGAAACTGGCGGGTCCCTGCAGGAGGTGTGGAGGAAGCGGTTCCTGTGAGAACCGAGTCTGCCGGCCAACACCTTCTAGAGAAGACCGTGTGTAGGAGGGCCTTTTCACAAAACCAGTCTCCCAGGAAAACAAAAAGGCCATCACTTTTCAAAACAAATAACACTGCTAAACACTTTCCTAGAAACCTCTCCCAGGGATTTAAGCATGTTTTGGCACATCACTTAAAGAAAGCGGTAATCCTTCTGTCTATTTGCACAAGAGGGGAGGGCGAGACGACAGAGAACCAATCTGTACTTCTAATGCTTTGTTTGGCTGGATGTTACAGAAAATAGGCAGAGCAAGCGCCCCGCGGTGTGCCCGCTGGGGTGGGATTTTTAATTCTCATTGTCAGGAAGCCGAAGGAGAACATACCTTCAGCTCTACTCCAGCAGGAACGACAATGGGCCGGAAAGACAGCGAGTGGGGGCAGATGGGGGTGATCATGATCGCTGGGACGTTTGGGTGGATCATGGAAGCCCCTGCCGCAGCTGCGTAGGCTGTGCTGCCCGTCGGGGTGGAGACGATGACACCTGAAAGGGAGAACAAGGAACAGGTGACCTCTGCAGCCTCTCCTGACCCTTGCACACTCAGGACCCAAAACATTTATGATTTCTTCATCACTTCTATATCTCACTTTCCGGCTGATGGGCTCAAGACAGCACGTGTGGTTTTCTCACTCCCTACTTTATCCCCCCCCAAACCAACCCTGCAAGGTAGACCAGGTTGAAAGAGCATGGCCATTGAATGAGTTCCAGGGCTCAGATGAGACTTGAGCCCCCTTCTTCAAGTCTGTCTGGCGCTCCAGATCGCTACACCCCAGGGAAAATGGAGACCAGCCTTACCGTCCCCCTGCACTGTGGTTATTAGATGCCCATCTAAGAAGACATCAACGTTGGAAAGATAGGACGAAGGGCCTCGATCCACCACAACTTCATTCAGGACCTGCCAGATAGAATAAACTCAACGTTATATTCAACGTTTTCACTCAAAAAAAATATGTAGATTTATTAAGTAATGATGATGATGTGCTGTCAAGTCAATTCTGACTTGTGGCTAACTTTTACAGGTTTTCTGGGTAGAAAAGACTCAGAAGTGGTTCAGCATTCCCTCCTTCTGGGGAGAGATCCCTGGGATGGTGCAGCTGGCCCAAGGCCACCCAGGCTGGCTCACGGCCATGGTAGGGAATCAAACTCACAACCTCTGGCTCTGCAGCCAGAGACCTAAACTATTCAGGCATCATCTTAGGTCTTGGAAGTTTTTTTAAAATGGGGGAGAGCTGTTTACACCCCCAAGCTGGATTTTAATATCTACAGGTCCATACAGTCATTTGTAAGACAATTCCAGCCACCAGCCCAGGAGCAGAAGTGGGGAGGAGGCCAACGTGTTTTCAAGAGGCATATTCCGAAAGCTTCGTCCAGATCCATGCAAGAGAAAGAAGCCAAACACTTGGGAAGAAATGTAACTTGGGGAAGAATGCAAAGAACTTTCTCTTTGCTCCCCTTGACCCATCTGCAGTGAGAACATATCATCAACCACGTTTGGGTTGGGGAGAGCAGCGACAGGCAGCCCAGTTACCTGATACTGAATCGCCTGCTTGAACCCTTCCTTGTTCATTTCTAGAGTCGGAGACATGACTCCGTTCTCTTCGATGCCGTTCTGGATCCTTGTTTTCTTCTCCCGGTGCTCCTTGACGACTTTCACTTTAAGCCTGCTTCGGAGGACCAGTGCTGCGTTGCCTGCAAAAGGGGGATATTTTTCTTATTAGGAATATAGACATTTACAGAAAGTTTCTTTAAAAAAATGTAGGAGTGGCCTATGCCAGAACCACGTTTCATAAAATCACAGAATCATGGAGTTGGAAGGGGCCTAGAAGGTTGAACTCCCTGCTCAAGGCAGGAATCTAAATCAAAGCAGATTGGGCAGAGGGTGGCCCCATTTTCTCTAGAAGGCCTCCAGGGTTGGAGCGCTCACCCCCTCCCGAGGTCATGGGTTCTGTTGTCGTACTGCTCTAACAGTTAGGAAGTTTTTCCTGACATTCACCCGAAATCTGGCTTCCTGTCGCTCGAGCCCATTCTTAGGTGTCCTGAACTCTAGGACGATCGAAAACAGATCCCGCCACCTCCTCTGTATCTCCTATCTCCCCTCTATCCTCTTTTCTCAAGGCTAAACCTGCCCAGCTGTTTCCGTCTTTCTTTCTAGGGCTTGTTTTCCAGCCCCCTCATCATCCTGGCTGGTGTTTTACTGAATCATTTGTAAAAGAAGTCATGAGTGTCCTGCATTCACCAAGAGAGGATAAGAAATATAACAGAAGTAAGACAGCCACTAACGAATAAATAAGACACAGAGGCAGGGCCGTGTAGTGGTTAACAATACTTGACTAAGGAACTAAGTTTAAAAATGCAGGATTGGGGGGGGGGAATTCGTTAAAATCCGCTCTGCTTCCTCCAGGGAAGTGCGAGCATTAGCCATGAAACTCAACTTTTGCGGGCGCAAGATCTTTTACCTTCTATAACCTGAGTGACTTTGGACTGAAAGTTCTCAAAATTGAAGGGGGTGAGAAATCCCAGCGATCCCAAATGGAAAGCCATAACCGGAGGCACGCTTCCCTGTTGGGGAGAAAAGGACAATGTTCACAGAAACACTCGTACCGTACAGCAGGGGGGGGGGAGACTCCCAGGAGGGCTCAAGACATGGTCCCTTTAAAGGCTGTTCATGAAATATACAAGTTGTATAAAGTGGGATCATGCAGATAAACATAAAAATAAATTTTTAAAAACCTCATATACCACCTACTTACACATACTTATGTTTGCAACTGTGCCCTAAAAAAGAATTTGTCGTGGCTTCCCTGCATAACTGAATACTTTTATTCAAAGGGGAGTAAACTATCGCGAAGCCCGAGTTAGATGTAGCTGCTTGTATTTAATTCTAAGCAGGTCTTTCTCCCCTTTGATAAAAGGTTAATTTTTAAATTTGTAATAATAATAATTTTAGAACTGCTGGATGGGACCCAACGGATAATGGGGAGTCCAGCCCCTGCCAAGGAAGCCCAGTGGGGGGAATCGAACTCCCAACCTCTGGCTCCACAGCCAGAGCTTCAAACCACTGAGCTAATTTAACTGAGCTTTCTTTTTTTAAAAAAAATCATGTACTTAAAAAACCAACTTTATATTCAAACTCATCCATCCGCTTCTAGTCTGTAGAAAGCAGAAGCAAATAAATAAACCCTGTGTGGATGTGTGCGGAAAAGGATGGGTGTCAGAATAAAAGCAGTACAGAAACGCATACTAAGAGCATGCCAAGCTGAAATCAAATTAAAAAGGAGGATCGGATCACAAGGTGTCGGGCAAAGAGACCATGCAGACTATAAGCTCACCGGGAAAAGGGAAGAAGCATAAAGTAAGGTCCCATCTCCTCCTAGGCAGATGATGAAGTCTATCTGGTTGGAGATATCATCATAATCTAAGGAAGGGAAGAAAAAAAAGAGAAAGAATCTGCTTTTAATTCCAGTGCTACCCATTTAATAAGCACAAACACAGAAACATAACCAGAATAATAATAAAAAAGATTGACTGCCAAAACATATTCTCAATCCTCTCTTCCACCCATGCCCGCATAGCATCATCCTTCCCCTATCTGTCCAAACCAGCTCTCTTCAAGGCAGTAAGACCATATAGTATGATTGTTCTGAGACGAGGATCTCTTCTGTATACATGTACAGGGGTTTCTCTGCACCACCGCTGTGCACAATAAACCAAGAACCAACAGTGCAAATTGATTTGAAATCAGCAAGAAACAGGATTTCTCCACGGGCCACAGCCGGATTCTCGCTGGAGTCTAATCTACGGATACCTCCCACAAAAAAAAGCAGCAAGATTTTAGACACAAGCGCGTGGAGTACCTTCTCTGAACGTGCAAAATTTTTTCTTCACTGGTCCAAAACTATCATCGTTCACGATGGTCGGGTCTTCCAGCACTTTCTTCTCAACGTATACAATCATGTTGTTCACCTGAAGAAGAAAAGGCACCAAGGTATGCTTAAAGATGTCTTTCCACCATGAGTGGGGTGGTGGTGGGGACAGGGATGGTTGCCACATTCAGCAATTCTGCCGACAACGTCCTCGCCTATCTCTCCTATGTTCATCAACACAAGAGCAAAAGCAGGGCTCGCTTTATCCCATGTTAAGGGAAGGAAGCACAGCCGGGGTCCGTGCGCACTTTCGGCGAGACGGAGTTGGTTCTCAAGGCTCTCCCGGGCCCCTATCCAAAAATCTAGAATGCCAGATCATCCAGATCAGCCAAGCCTTCTGCACAACGGGGGCGGCTGTCAGGAATCAACCCTCTGAAGGGACCCTTCTAAAAAAATATGAAAAGGGTACGAACCTTACAGGTGGGTGTGGCAGAGAGAGAGAGGACAGAAAGCCCAGCCCCACAACAGTCCGACCACAGAGTGGGGAGGAGTTGGTGTCCCTTCTCTGGCCTCCCACGCTCCTAGTCCCTATCCGGAGGTCCCTGATGGCCACCCATCCGAGCAGGAATGAGGCTTAACTCCATTTCATTTCTGGAACTAGAGGAAGCCTTAGAAGGAATCGGGCCAACGCAGGCCCATCCACGCCAGATTTCTGCAATTCTTTGTCCTCCTGATGGTCTGGATTCCAGTTCTCACTTCCCTAGCCTCTCGCTGCTTTGGCCGAGGCTGATGGGAACTGGTGGCAGCAATTCTGAAAAGCACGATCCTTTTTCTAGCCCTATCCTGGAGAAGCTTCAGGCTTCACGGAAAACAGAGGCTCTAACACTAAGCTAGAGTTCCTTGCCAGATTGGAAGCCAAAATGGGAACACTTATGGAGAAGGGACTAGAACCGGTGGATAGCTCAGTGGTTGAGATCTGCGGCTGCGGAGCCAGAGGTTGGGAGTTCGATTCTCCCCCAGGGCCTCCCTGACTGACAGGGGCTGGACTAGATGACCCACAGGGTCCCTTTCCAACTCTGCCGTTCGAAGATGCCCGAGAGAGCTCTGAAGAAACATACCAGGAAACCTGCAGCTGCTTGGGCTCTCTTGCAATATTCGGAACAGCAGAAAGGAAGGGGGGTGTTTTGGGGACAGGAACCAGTTGAACAAGCTGGCATTTCATTCAAGGAATGAAAGCCATTCCGAGTCTTATCCGTGATCCCTAACAAAGGCCATCGCAGGCCAACAAAGCAGAAAAAGGCTGTGTTTTGATAGCACGGTGCCCTCCGAAGCAGGAATTCCGCTCAGACGTCCCTGCCGTGCCAACACTAACATCCTCTTGCAGAGAAAGAAGTTATTTAGCATTTGCAGCTGTTCCTTACTTTGTTAAACACACATTTATTACCAAAAAATAATAATAATTCCAACCACCCCAGGACACAACAGTCATTTCTGCTGCACCACTGTTTTGATTCCAACAGCTGAGAGCACCCAATGGCCATTTCTAACATGAGTTCCATTTTTTAAATTTTGCATATTCTTGGAAAGGTGAAGAAGGGACTCGATGACACATGACAGCACAGCAAACCCTAATCCACATGGATCTGAGGTTTCAAGACTCTGACATGTCACTGACATTTTTTTTCCTATGTTTTCATCACAGGGTGGAGGAAACTTTCTTTCTCTACAATGTAGTTTTACGATATCCTGTTTTATGACTGCATTTGATAACTTTATGCTTGTGAGACACCAACAGAACCTGGGAGATAAATACCCTCGAGAGAGAGGCCTCCCATCTAGGTTTCAATAGGACTGCAAAGGGGGGGGTGATGGAATGGAAGACTGGCCGTACGTGATGCAAGCAATAAGGGGACTTTGTAACTCATCTGGAACCCAATTTCTGCTGCAATGTGAGTCATGCGCCCAGTATAAGGCATGCAAATCAAATAAATATGTACAGTTCCTTGAATTTGCATTGTTTATTTGACTTCGGTACGTGACTGGAAGAGGCAAGGATCCAGGAAGGTTGCAGAAGCAATACTGCGTGTATTTCTAGGACTATCCCTACCATTGTATAAGAGCCTTGGTTAAAAAGCAGAAACATGAAGGTAATGCCTGAATCTAGCTGGCAGCCCCCAGCTAGGGGGAAACCTACTGCATCTATGGGACTCTTGTAAGTGTTAATTAACCGTTCAGCAATCAATCCTCTGGATTCGGACCAAAGATCCTTAGGAAAATCTGGGCTTTAGCTTCTTAAGAAACATCTCAACTTACCTCTGTAAGATAGATGCAGAGGTCTTTAAAGGGTTGCAGGAGGCTGGCGTCCCGAATTTTTTTAATCACAAGCACACTCTTGGGTGGTTTGTTCCATGTCAACCGTTGGCTTGCTGGGTCCTGAATGTGCCTGCAATATTTCCCCCCCACCCACCGCCCCAAAAAGAGGTTACAAGTTTGGAAACGACCAATTTAATATTCAGCTGTTAAGAACTGCAGGCCAATTTTGACGGAGAATCGAGAGCTCATGGTTTATTTGATTGCTTTCCTGGAGGGAATCCATTCAGCTACTGATGGCAGGTTGCATGTGTTTAAAATACAGGAAGACCGCGGTATCTGTGGGGGATTGGTTCTAAGCCCCCTCTCTGCAGATACCAGAAAGCGCGGATATAGAAATGCTGCATAAAGCATAGCTTCTGGTTCCCCCTAGTGACCAGTTCTGGTAATACACCTTGGAACCATGTATTTCTGGGATTTTTAAATTTAATATTTTCAGACCGCGGATTAAGTGAAACCATGCAGGAAGACCGCGGTATCCGTGGGGGATTGGTTCTAAGCCCCCTCTCTGCAGATACCAGAAAGCGCGGATATAGAAATGCTGCATAAAGCATAGCTTCTGGTTCCCCCTAGTGACCAGTTCTGGTAATACACCTTGGAACCATGTATTTCTGGGATTTTTAAATTTAATATTTTCAGACCGCGGATTAAGTGAAACCATGGGGACTGATCTGCAGACATGGCGGGCCTACCGGATCACCATGACCCACATCTAAAAAAATGGCGTGCCCAAAACACCTGGAATGATGGAAGACATGCCGAGACCCATTTCCTTCTACTTTCTCTCTACAAGGAAATGATTTCCCAGGGGAATCTGAGCAAGACGCAAGTCCCTGCCCTCCAGCCCACAGTGATTCATGCCAGGATAACCTTTTATAAACTCGAGGCTGCTCTAGAGCCAAAAGCAGAACTAATAAAACAAATTCTTTGGATCAATGAGCTTAACAGTGGTGTTAAAAAAATTCCAATAGGACTGCAAGATGTTTGCTTTCCTCTTTCTCTCTCTCCCCCCACCGGTCCCTTCTGTTGCAACTGGGGAAGTTCCCGGCGTCATAAACCTGTTCTTGATTCCTGGTTTCCTGAAAACAGAAGTATTCAGAGAGCACCAGAGTGACCGTAACTCTAGCAATGAGATGCGATCTGTGTTTCAAGAGCTTCTTTGCCTGGGAGCAATGGCTTTTTTTAAAATTTGGGGTCCTCGAGAAACTGTCTGCACTGTCCAGAACAGAGGAGCCGAAGCTAACTTCTCACTGTTCCTGCAGGGCGGGCCAGCATGGCTTAAGAAGCCACACACACACACACCCAATTTCTTCTCCAAAACATAAGATTAACAGCAGTGGACAAACCCTGTTCCAGGGAAGGAGATCACTCTGTAGAAGCCTTGCCATCAGAGAAACCTGGATGGTTCAAAACCGTGGCTGCAGCGGGGCCCAGGAGATCTGAGTTCAAATCCCTGCTCGGCTGCAGAAACTCCTTGGTGGGTGGCGACAGCAACCCACATCTTGAACATCTCGCAGCCCATCGAAAACCCTAAGCTTAGGATCGCTGTTAAGTAACCACAGCAATTCCAAGCAACAGCAAGAGCAGGAAAAAGATAGTGGGAGAGGAATCCACTGTACCCTTCCAGTGCTCCACCTTCCCACAATATAAAATTTTTCTCAATGTTTTTCTTTCTGGTGACGTTTTCACTATCAGGATTAACCAGGAGAGAATACTTTCTAGAAAGCCATGTCGAGATGGGAAATGCAAGAAGGGGGTGAATGTTCTAAACAGATTAATTGAAAGCCAGGTACAAAATAACAAAAGACACTCAACAAAGGCCAGGAGCTCCAAAATAAAAACAGCAGTATTTATGCCGTCCCTGAAACTTGAGGACAATCCAGGCTAGGGTTTGCACAAGCAAATGTATTTGTAACAGCCGTCTAAACATGGCCGGTCTAATTTCCGAGGCAAAAGGTATCTCGCAGAGCGTCCGCCTCCATGCCCTGCGCAGAGCCTCCGGCCGAAATCTCGGGAATGGCCGGAGCCACAGAAGGGCTGCTCCTGGTGACTGAGTGGAAACCACACGGGAGAAGACCGCCTCTAGGAACACCAGGTCATCGGTTGTTAAGGACTTCATCAACCAAAAAGAAAACCTTGAGCCCGGCCCGGCATCATCAGTCCTGGACTGCTAGATCAATGGTTCCCCACCTTGGATCCTCCAGATGTTCTTGGACTGCAACTCCCAGAAGCCTTCACCCACAAGATGTGCTGGCCAGGATTTCTGGGGGGGTTGCAGTATAGGAACATCTGGGGACCCAAAGTTGGGATGCCCTGGTCAAGATCACACGCCACCTCTGTTCCACCCAGAGATGGCAGGACGGGCGGTTCAGCCTTGCCACCATCTGAGCTTGGCACGATCGTGCAAATACATGCAATATCACCTGCCAGTTCACCGCGGCCTGCCCACTCAGCAGGCACACCTGTGCGCCGCTGCAGACTGCAAGCTGAAACAGACCGATTCCTCGCCCTTGGGCAGCGCTTACCTGTTTGGCTGGCTTGCTGGGCCTGAACAGGTGCTTTATTTCCCCCACAAATGCACCTTGGAGGTAGCCCTTAGAAATCCAGCTGAACTATTTGGAAACGTCCTAGGGTTATTCTCCACTTGGGGACCTCATCCTTCCTCAGTCACCACATATTCCTGTTTAATCTTAAACTGAGAAAGTTACTTTTCTGGATGAGAATTCCCAGCCTGACAGCTGCTGGCAAGTGGAGGAGCCAGAATCCCAAAATATAATTTTTCTGCAGGTTGTTATTCAAAAAAAAATAATGCACATGAGCTTCTACTACAGCAATGGGGTCTTCCCTTCTGGGTACTGCAGAGGAGTTGTATATAACATGTGTGAACACAATGCCGTTTGCAACAAGGCCAAACTAAGGAGGCCTGTTTTCAGTTTGCTTCCTCTCTTACCCCACCCTTGTTTGCTATTTTTTGAGTTTATGCAAGCTTTTGATGGCACTTATTCCAGCAAAAGAATCCCACTCATCCATTCCACCCAAAGAACGGCTGAAGAGCGGAACAGTCTGGGTGGATGGTATTGAAAGAGAGGCTGAGTGGGAGACCCTGGAAGTAGTTCCCAACCTCGGCTCCCCAGAGGTTCTTGGACTACAACTCCCAGAAATCCCAGCCAGTATAGCTCGTGGTGAAGGATTCTGGGAGTTGTAGTCCAAGAACATATTCTGAGAGTTGTAATCCAAGAACATCCGGAGGACCCAAGGTTCAAAACCACTGGGCCAGATGACTTCCATGATACCTTCTAAATGGAAAAAGATATGAAAGAAAGGAAGAAAGGAAGAAAGGAAGGAAGGAAGGAAGGGAGGGAGAGAGAGAGAGAGAGAGAGAGAGAGAAAGAAAGAAAGAAAGAAAGAAAGAAAGAAAGAAAGAAAGAAAGAAAGAAAGAAAGAAAGAAAGAAAGAAAGAAAGAAAGAAAGAAAGAAAGAAAGTTATATTGGAGGTACGTACGTGATA